ATATTTCTTATTATAATTACTTAATTAAGCTTTAGAAACTATATTCTATAGATATTAAATACTTTATATTCTACTAAGTATTTTAAATAGCCTCTTAGCATAACTTTAAAGTTATACTTATTTTATCTAGCTACTTACTTTTTATAAAGTAAGTAAGCTCTATAGCTATAGATATTAGTAGTACTTTAATTTAAATAAATGTTAGCTATAGTAGTATAGACTTTCTTACTATACTTTATATACTATATATTAAGTATAGTATTAAACGCTAAAAGATTTTAAGTATATAATAAGCTTATATTATATAGCTAGGTTACTACTAGTTATAATATTTAGCTAGAGCCTTTTAGAAAGATTTATACTAACTCTATTTTTAATAAACTTAGTAATTATTTTCTAGTCTACTCTTATTACTTTTCTATTTAGTTTATAAATATAGATAAAGATATACTCTATAATAATACTTTATTTTATAGCTTATACTTTATAAGTATAACTTACTTTCTTAAAATAATATTATAATAATATTATTTTAGAAAATAATATAAATAATAAGCTTATACTATACTATAAAAAAGCTTAAAAAGGTATATAAAACTTTTATAATTCTAATAAGTATTTTAGCTTAAAATATATACTAATAAATTTTACTACTATAATTATTTTTAATTACTATAATTTAAAGCTATTTATTATAACTATTAGTAAAGTTAAGAAAATTTTATAAGATTCTTTAAATAAGTTCTAGAGCTTTCTTCTATAGTTATCTAAAGATATACTACTTTATATAAGTAATAGTATAATACTTATACTTACTTTAGCTTATTATCTTAATATATATATTACGTATATTCTTAATAAGAGCTTATAGCGCTTTTAGACTTAAGTAGTCTACTTTTATATACTAAAGCTTCTTTAGCATTATTATAAGTACTAGTTATTAGTTATACTTATTATAGTTAAGTAAAACTTTAAAGAATTATATTTAATAAATATAAGCTTATACCTTTTCTTTAGCTTTACTAGTATAAAGTTATTAAAGAGCGTTTCTATATAAAGTATTAAGTCTAGCTCTAAGTACTATAAGTTTAGCCTTATTAAAAGCTACTTTTAAGATAATATTAATATTACAACTTTTTATAAGCGCTATACTTATTAGAATAAAGTTTTTATATATAGTTCTTTTTTTTAGTAAAAGTATTATTAATTTTTAATATACTATATCTAAGTATTTAAAAAAAAAAGATTTTTACTTTTATAGTAGAAAATTTAAATACTTTTATAAAGGTTTTTAACTTAAGTAGAAATATATTATTTAAAAATATACTACTACTTTATTATTTAAGATAGTATATATAGAAACTAGATAAATATTTAAATTTATAGTTAAGTATATACTACTAATACTTAGCTAACTTATAATTAAAGTAGAGTTTATAAGTATTATCTAAATTAACTATAGATAAATAGAGCTTAGGCTTTTAATTTATAGTTACTATAAAGTAGTTTATCTCTTCTTATTAAAAGCTTTGTATAAAATATTATACTTTAAGTTCTTAAGCTTAGTAATAATTTTAGCTTTAGCTTTATTAGAAAGCTTTAAATATTTACTTAAAAGTACTATTTTTAAGTACTTATATATAGTAGTAGACTACTTATAGTACTATCTATATAAGTAATTTCTCTTAAACTTTTAGACTAAGTTAATATTACTAAAAGCTTATTATAGTACTTTTATAATAGTAAATATACTATCTCTACTAGTAGAGTAAGTAGTATACTTTTTAATTAGCGTAGTAAAAATCTTAAATACTTATTTAAAAGTAATCTAAATTTTACTAATAGTATAAGCTTTAAAAAAGTTTTATAATATAAAGTATTTCTATTCTAAGATAAGCTAAATACTTATTACTTTTAAATAGTTCTAAACTATTAGTATATTACTAACTTTAGTAAGTTTATATACTTTAGATTAGACTAGAATATATAAGTACTTTTATTACTAAAACATAGAGTTAATATATTCTTATTATACTTTTTATAAGTATACTCTATATAATAAGTATATAAAATTCTTAGTATAGTTTCTTTTTAAGAAAAAGCGTAAAGTAAAAATATTTAATAAGTACTTATAATATAATATCTTTCTTTATAAAGATAAAAAGTATAGTAAAAGCTAAAAGCTTTAAACTTATAGTCTAATTAATTATGTTCTAAAGATACTTAATATAAGTACTTTTTAACTACTAATCTATTACTTATATCTTATACTTTATAATAAATAGGTTATACTTATTAGTATAAAGCTTATTAACTATACTATTTTATATAAGCGCTACTAGCTCTAAAACTTATAGAATACTTATTTAGATAAAACTAGCTATTTTTATATTAAAGTTAATATTAGCCTAAATTCTTCTACTTAAAGTATTAAATTTAAACTAAGTAAACTACTTAAGCTAATATACTAAGTTTATAAGTATAAAAGCTTTTATAAAGATTTTTATAAAGTTACTTTTTATAAGTAATAGAAATATACTTTTATAAAAAAGTAAAGATTAGTAATAAAATTAGTATTACTATACTTTAATAAACATTTTATATCTTAACTATATAAATCTAGAACTATAATATCTTTTTAAAGCGCTAGGCTTATAACTATTATATCTAGAAGTATATAAATAAATAAAAAGTAAATTATTATATTATAAGCTTACTTAAAAAGCTTTTTTAAGTAGTAAAGCTTTTAAGAGTTTATCTTAATCTATACTAGTATAATTATATATAGTAATTCTATAAGAGTATTTAGAGATACATTCTATAATAATTACTTTAATATACTTATTTTATCTATTAGAAATTTTTAGAACAAAAATATCTTAATCTTATACTCTAATAGAATTAGAATTTCTATATAATTAGTAAAGTACTCTAGTATTAATATTTCTTAGAGAATATAAATATTTAAAAAAAAATAGTAAAAAGTATAAAATACTCTAAGCTACTTATTCTTAAGATTACTAAATTACTATTAGTATAAACTTACTATTTAGAATAAGTAGTAGAAGAGCTATTAATAGTCTAGAAATATATTTATATATATATCTATCTTTAAACTAAGACTATAAATTACTTTAGATATCTAGTACTAGTATAATATAAAGTATATAAGATTATACTTATATATCTTAGAATACTAATTTTCTACTTTTTATAATATAATTTTTATCTACTAGTTATAGTTATTATAGTACTATATTCTAAAAAGTTATTAAAGATACTTATTATAGTAGATAATAAATATAGAATAATAAAACGTAGTCTAGTAACTCTATATATTAATCTTAATACAAATCTATTCTTTAAAATTCTTATACTTACTCTATATAGCTATAATACTTAATATAACTCTTTCTTAATATTTACTATATATATAGTACTTTAATTACTATAAAAATATACTTGTAGAAAGTATTTATTCTTTTTATATATAATATTACTTACTAAAGGTTTTATTACTTACTTATAATCTATAACTTAAAAGAAAGCTTTTATTAAAACTTCTTAAGTTATTATAATAAAGATTATAATAGACACTATTATATAAAGTATTATAATAGTAAGTATTAAATCTTTTAAAATGTATATAGATTTTCTTTCTATCTTAAAAATATTAATATTCTTTATTCTTTTTAAAAACTTTATTATTTAAGCTAATAGTTATTATAGTTTCTAATCTTAGCTAGTCTATTACGTATATTTCTACTAATATATAATAGATTTTTCTTAAACTATACTTTATTAGTATAGAAGATTAAACTTAGTTCTATATTACTAGAACTACTTATTTAAATTAATAGTATTCTATTATTATTTTGTATCTATACTATCTATACTTTAATTCTTAATTCTAGAATAAGATATATATAAATATCTTCTAAATATAGAAGTAGCTATTAGAATATAGTAAAAGGTATTAAAAGAAGTTTTTAGCTAAAGTAATAATACTATTAGAAAGAATAGTAAGTTTATTAGTATTTTATATATCTAGTAACTTCTTTAAACTTAGATATAAAGTAGTTATTTTTCTTAGCTAAAAGTATTTAAAGTAAATACCTAAAAGTTAAATTTAGTAGAGAATTTATATACTAGTATAAAATATAGTTTATTATTAGTTAAAAGTTCTAGTACTAATACTAATATATACTTAAAATATTAACTCTTAATATTCTTAATTTTAATAGTAGTCTTAGAGTAATTTAGAAGCTATTTATTTTCTAATAACTATACTTCTAGAGCTATATATAATTAGCTTAGACTAAAGATATCTATAGCTACTAATAAGTAAACTAGAAGTATCTATCTAGTTAGATATAAATTATAATTATTATAAGTATTATAGTAATTTAGAAATTAAGTATTTTTATTAAAGTCTAAAAGCTAAAGTAGTATATAAATATAATACTTATATAAGCTTAGTTTATAAGTTAGAAAAGAGAATAATAGCTTAAAATAACTTTTCTATATATACTATAGTAGTAAGTAAAGATATTTTATTATATAAACTTTTTTTATATACTAAAGATCTATTAAATTACTTATATAAGTAAGTCTAAAAGTCTAGATATAGAGAAAAATCTTTAGATAGAAGTAAAATAGTTATATATAGAAATAAATATTATATTATAATATAACTAATATAGACTCTATAATCTTAATAATAGCTAAGCTTTAGTAAAATCTAGTTACTACTTTCTAGTATTAGCTAGAAAGTAAAGTTACTTAGATCTAGTTTAGATTTACTTTAGATCTTATTTTTTTTACTTAATAGAGTTAGTAGAATTAAGAATAACAAACTCTTCTATAGATAATAGTCTAAGCTGTCTTATAGAAGAATTTAATCTAGAATTTAGATAAGATAAAGTAACTAATAGAAGAATATAGTATTAAAGATAGGTTGTTTTCTAATACACATTACGTTGTAATTAACTAGTCTCTTCTTAGAGAAGCGGGATAAGTTTCGCTAGATCTTGCAATTTGATCGGCTTGCTGAGAAACATATTAAAGCCGCTACCGTACGCTTCAGCCCGTGCAGCCTCTGACTGCAACGCAGTAACTGCGATAATCTTCGATGCCGCCATATGATGCTTCTTCTCGTAGGATCGGATCCGCTGAACAGCCTCATAACCGTCCATAACCGGCATGTTGATGTCCATAAGAATGACGTTTGGTATGCCAATTGCGCCCTTGTCGATAGGGTTCACTCCATTGCCTTGTTGCGATGCAACAGTTTGGTGAGCGTTCACGAATGCGTCGACAGCAAGTTGACCGTCGTGAGCGGTAAGATAAGGGTACTTGTGCTTCTTGGCAAAGGCAGCGAGAAGCTTAAGATTGACGTTGTTGTCGTCTACAAGAAGCAGGGTCGGCATCTTCGTGGCCGACACAACTACAGAAGCGAGTGGTACTTTGATCAGAGGGGGTTCCGGCATTTGCGTCGTGGCAGGTGGTGAAAACGAAAGCGCTTGAGGGTCGAAGACTCGATGACTCGGGGGGTGTACCAGCTGGACTTCTGCCGGCGACGATTGTACCGGAACTACGTTTGCGACCTCAGCAAGTATTTCTGCTGAGTTAGCCCCGAACTTTCTGACGCCAGGAACTTTTGCTGCAGGTGACAGTGAAGCAAGAGCTTGTGATTGGAGTTGATGATCAGTCTTAGCGTCGTGTTGAGCAGCTCCATTCGCTAGACGACCATTGCTGAATTCTTTGTGGGCTTTTGGCCGCTCTGTGACTGTCATCGTACGCTTCTCGTGCAAGCGCAAAAGAGACGATATTGTTCGAGCCACCTGTTTCACGCCACAAGGCAGAGCGATATGCTCCATCGTCAAATGAGGTTGAAGTTTGTCTGTTGCCCACTGATCGCGAAGGATCTGTGCACTGGGACTGTTGTTGCACACGACGAGGATGGGCGCAATGTTGTCTTTCCTCTTTTCAGCCCCGTCATCTGTAGTTGCTTCCTTTCGGAGGGTCGCAAGGCATTCATTGACGTCGGCTTCTATAACAATCATGAGATCGTATGAATTGCTGCGTTGCCACTCACATCGCGCAGACCGTATGCTCAGGGAGGTGAGGACGTTTTCGATAGAGGAGATGGCTAACGCAGAAGCCGCTTCCGTTGAAATAAGTTCAACGTTGGCCGATGAATGCAGTCCCGTCACTAGACCGACGTTGATGCTTTCGAAGGCCTTCGGGGTGACTTTACTTTCGTTCAAAGCCCCAGTGCGACGCTCGCTATTCGGGTGATCCTCGAGCGGCACCCGTACAGTGAAGCAGGTACCTGTCCCATCTTGATCGCTTACTACTTCGATACTACCACCCATTGCATACACAATCCTGGAGACTATGTGCATACCCAGGCCTAGACCATCAGACAATGTGTCCTCTTGGGCAAAGTCATGGAAGAGACGGTCGCTCTGGAACTTCTTCGACATGCCCTTTCCGGTGTCGGAAACAGTAAGCACCGCGTCAAAACGTCGCCGCGATCCCTGTTTCGGCTCTTGCTTTAGGAAGACCCGGATATGTCCAGAAGGCGTGTATTTGAGTGCATTGGTGACGAGATTGATGCAAACGCGCTTCCAGCCGCCTGTGGCTAAGCTGCAATGCCAAGGCCTGCCGTCGGATCGATCGATGTCGAGAATGACCGGTGGATGAGTGTGATCTTTCGCATTTTGGCCGTAATAGAAGGAGTATACGGTCGATACAACGGCGTCCTCGGTCAAGTCATCAAGTGCTATGTTCATATCTAGCGCTTTCAGATCGTCGGTAGTAGAGCTCGTGGTTGGTGGAAGAAGCTTCTGGCTGATGTTTGAACTTTTCACAGCACCTTTCTTCAAACGCCGGCTCTTGAGATCTGCGAAATCGAGAAGATGTTCGATGATATCGAGCAAGGTACGTCCGCAGGAGTTGATCTGTTCGACAAAGGACGTAGCTATATCGTCCAACGTCTGCTCCGCTAGTAACTCGCACGAGCCCAATATACCATGTAGTGGAGAGCGAAGTTCGTGAGATATAGTCGAAATGAAGTCTGACTTGGCTTTGTCGGTGCCCAATACCTCCAGACGCTTGGTTTCGGCAACGATAATGTCACAGAAAGCATCGACGAATTGCATCTCTGTGTCTTTGGCGATATTCCTGAGTGGATCACACGTCCAGTAGAGACCCGCAACCGCCCACCGTTTTTTGGTGTAGTCCCATATCCCATTGAGCGCTATGCAACGTGATCCGGGCAATACACCCTGCAGGATATCTCCATCATTTCGTCGATCTTGACGATGGGTTTTGCGTTGTTCATTGCTTGATGAGCGTGTTCCCGCAGCACTGGCACCGGCTCCAGACTCGTCCGAAGAAATATCGTCTTCGGAATAGATTCTGAAGTCTTCGTCAAACTTCCAAACTCTTCCGAGCGGATTACGACGCATGAGCCTGCGTAAGAACGATTCCGTCAATTTCGTGGGAGGCTGACCCGTCGGATGTTTTGTTCCCATGCTGTGGTTTCGCGTTGTTTGTGCAAAGCCTAGCACCTGGCAGGCGGTTGCATGTTCGGTTTGTGACTCATTTGTAAGGTCAGAATGTGAAAAAACGACAGCCGAATCATCGCTATCAGCGTTACTCCCCTCATTGGACTCCGCATTTTGTGAATCGCTCAGTCCGCCAAATTCTCGGACAGAGGCGTCGAGGAAGGCGACACCGTCTAGTCCGAGTGATTGGCAAAGGATTTCCGCAGCACGTTGATATGTACTACTGGGATCGTCGGCATCTTCACGTCGACGAGGCTGTGGATGGGTTGTGAAACCTTCTGCTGGAGAAGCAAAATGTTTCTGTGTATTCACGGTGTTTGTCCGCACATGTGGATCGAGCAACGCATGTTTCCGATCGGTTAGCCGGGGAGCTCCGCTATAGTCGCTCGATCGCTGATGATGATGAAAAGTGGGGTTCTCAGATATCTGCGCGTTGCCGGTCGATGAGCTGTTCTCATGCTGAGCGGGTAAGAAGACTCCTACCGACTGCGAAGGCGTCATAGCGGGAGTACTTGTAGGGTCCATCAAGGCCTCGGGCGAGCGATACTGACCTGAGTAAGCTTCCTGAACTCCGACGCCGCCGTTCTTCACAGGCACATTAGTTGCGGGCGACGCTTTACGAGCGGCACCCGACGTTCCTCGAACAAAATCTCCAAGACCTGCCACCATGCGATTGGTTTGTTGCCGTTCTGAGAGAGCACGCACAGATTCGAGGTGGTTTATAACAGTTTGCGACATGTCGCCCAAGAAGCTGAGATCTTTTTGCGAGATTCCATTACGAACTTTGTCGTCGAGGATGCAGTATGCACCAATGTTGACTCCAGATGGTGTTGTGATGGGCACACCTGCGTAGAAGCGGCCGTTGGGAAAGCCAGTGACGTACGGCCTGGTTGAAAGGTCCGGATGTTTGGTCAAGTCGTTTACTACGAAGGCGCTCTTCCGGATGTCGCCGTCTGCAGCACTGGAGATGGGAAAAGAAGGTAGATTGACGGTCGTCTCGCAACAGGCAACGTCGCGGGGAATGATAGAGTGACCCATCCACATCTCATCTCCGGGTTCGTGGATCGCATCATCTACGAGTGATAGCGTTTGTGTCGCCTCGGCCATGATGTAGGCATGGTTGACATCGAAGAAGAAGATCAAACAACGTCGAGCCCTCAATCTCATAGCACCCAGCTGGCAAAATGCCGTGAGGATCTTGTCGGGGCACGAGACGGCCTTGTGCCTCTCTCTCGCCTCGGGATTGCGCACGTCGCAATATTGGGGGCCATAGTCAGACATCTGCCGGAAGGGGCCATAGTATCTTTACGAAAACATCAGTCCTGTCGAAACATGGTTGAAAAGCACCTAATGAATGATCGGGTGTACCGGTAGAATTGCTGCTCGCGCCTGCCTTCGCCGCGAACAGCTTTGCGAGACTCCCACGTGCGGCCTGGCCCTAGGCAAGCACCTCCAGTGCATGCATCTTGCATTGCGACCGACGCGATTGAAGGTACTTGTATTCCCGTGATCGTCGGGGCAATGTGATAGTATGGTGTTGGGCGAGAAGGTTGTCAGTAGCGGCAAAAGCAAAGCGCGACGGTTTGCCACCCCTTAGGAATCTCGGGGCTAGCGCATCGTTGCTTTGCGGCCCGACAAGAGACGGGACGCGTCGCGCTGAGCTGTGCGCAACCGGCATTGAAATGGCTACGTGTTCTATCATCAACTTCGGGATGCATAACGCGTTGATTGATCCAGTCAATTCCAGGAGGGGCGAGGAAACGCGAATCTACGCTTGGCGCAGTATATAGGCATAGGATCGGGAGTTGCAGATGCACGGCGACGGCTATCTGTCGCCTCTGCGATGAGCCCCAACGCATCCTAGCTCCCAGCCCCACCAGATCGTGCATCGCACAGGCCTGCCGCTGAGTCCCCCATTGTGTGAGCGGGTACTTCCGCATCTTTGCGAACCATCCTCTAGTAGTTTCTCGTCTGCTAGCTATTAGGTACAAGATACTAGATGTTAAACGTGATGCAAAAGGCCTTTGTGGCGAAATTAAGATTGATTGCTCAAACAAGTGCAGGCTCAGCAGGCTAAACCCCTTACCAGAACTTCGACTTGTTTGATCTCTGCTAAGGACCTCCGTAACGCAATGCCGTTAATGGGCACCACATTCCGATGTGAGATGGGTAAATCTTGGGTGACCTTCGCGGAGCCAGTATCCCGCACTCTCCACTTCATCATCTCCGCCGTCTTCTACCGGTAGCTTCAGGGGCGGACTCGGGTAGCGCTCGAGAGATCTGTATTGTACCTGAGGCTCCTTGCTATCCAAAGCTCTCCATTGACTTCGTTTCTGCCAACCACTGGCGGGTGCTTCACGTGGATGCTGGATTATAGGCCGAGCGCACTCGATCGCTCTGTAGTGCGGTTCAGGCAGCTCGACTATCATATTGCGCAACTGTTTCGACCTCCAGAAGGCATCGAGCAGGGGTAAGGCTGGACCAGTGAGTAGATCGTGGCGATGTCGGTCCCAGTAAACGAGCAGGGACATATAGAATTTGCGGAGACTGGGGCAGTATTTGACGATGTTATCGAGAATGGGCTCTAGGTGGTCCATATTGAAGAAGGGTGTGCCATCATCTTGCTCAATACGATGTGCCTCAATCGTCAGTTCCAGAGAAGTGATCGATGCCAATCGATTATGCGGAATCAGTCTTGGGAGATGAAGAAGCAAGGGCTCGCTCTGGATGCTTATGCAGTTGGCGGAATACAAGAACTCAACACCTTCCATGTACGCCTGCCTGCAAGACAGCAGAAACCCCATAACGCCAATATCATAAACCCCAGAACGCACAGCGGGGTCGCTTGGGTCGCTCCTTCTATGCCGGCCCTCCTCCATCTGCTTTATGCACTCATCGATCCACGGGCCTCTCCAATGCCATGGCATAGATGGCTTCCATAATGGGTGATTACGCCCGCAAGGGATGCCCCTCCATTGCCATGCGCCTGCTTGCTGTACAAGATCCATGTGGAGCATGCGTCTATCGAAGGCCATGGACAAGATGATGCTTCGGATGTCGTACGGCAGCTGGAAGAAGAGGCATGCTGGTGTGTCGATCGAAGTCGGTGTAATCGGTCGTCGCGAAGAAGGTAGAAACGGAGGCTCGTCCGGGGATGGCGGTTTGGGGCTCGATTCGATGCGCAGGTACTTCTTCAGCCATGCGCTGAGCCTGGACATGGTTGGGGATGCGACAGGAGGATGGCCTTGATGGACAGGGAAGCGATCAGGCAATAGGCAGTAAGCCCATACATAGGTAGCTACCGTCTGCCCGAACGTGTATGCGGCGACGCACTGGCGTGATGAAGAAGGCGGCCGCTGATTGCGCCTCCGTTCTCGTTAATCACCCCTGCGTCAACCGCCAAGGAACGGCATCTTACCCATAATGATCCGATGTACAATGCAAGGGGCTTCACATCGTTGGCGGCGCGCATCGTTCTAGGGGAAAAGACTGCCTCTCTCATTCGGGGTTTGGACCGTCTCCAGCCCGAGAGGTCCACGGGTCTAATCTACCTAGGTATCTAGCGTGTTTGCCAAGACCATTTGCCGCCAGTCTGGATCCACCATCCGCAATCTGGTCCAACACCGCGCCGCAAGACACCATCACCGCATGTAAGCAAATTTGCACTTTGAGACAGTTCTCTTGATTACATTTCGACGGCGCCAAGGCGCCACGTTCTATACCTAGATCTGTACTGCCATCAAATAGATAGCACCCCAACGCAGTAGTAGTAATCAGGCCACAGGTTCTGGCAGTCGTTGCCCACGGCGGGATTCCACTCGTAAAATTGGCTGGAGATAATGTCAGTATGAGCTTCGAGATGATAGAGCTAAGGCCAAGAGAAGGAACCGTGGAAAGTGGTTGGACGCGGAAAGCACTTACGCCAAAGAGATGCCGGCGCCAGTCGCCATCGCGTAACAGAACTCGTCTGGCTGCTGGAGATGAAAGCTCACACAATTGTCCGCCATGCCTTCGCGGACAGGTGAAGGTGTCTGCACAGGCTCAGTTGGCTTTATTGTAGTGGTTGTCGGCTGCGTCGCAGTCGGTTGTATGGTCTCTGTCATTTGCGTCGGCGAGGGCGCGCCTGGAGTACGCGTAGTCGGCGTGCCCGGGCGACCTATACAGTACCATGCATCTGGAACGACGCCGGCGCAATCGCCGAAAACGGAGGGATTCCACTTCACGAAGTCGGCCTCGCTGAAGCTACCGAACATGAGCGCGATAAGGTCGCACGTGTCGTCGAAGGTTGTCTGATACCATCGCGTGCAGTCGTTGGGGTATCCCAGAGGGATTTTGCCCTCCGTCGGTTTCGCCGTCTGATGTGCGGGTAGTGGGAGATCAGCATCCGCGTATGCGCCAACACAGTACCAAGTGTTGAGCCAAAGACCTAGGCAATTGCCATCGAGGGCTGGGTTCCACGACAAGAACTGCTGTTGCGAGAAGTAGCCGTACAACTTCACAATGTCATTGCAGTTTTGGTCGGCTGTCGCCTGATGGAAAACTTTGCAGTTGGATGGCATAGGTCCATGCGATGGGATTGGTGCGAAACTTGAATCGGCTGTGGGTAGTGTAACAGGCGTGTAGTCGGTCGGCTCAGGAGGCGCGGTGAAGTCTGGCTGGGCGGTCTCCCATATCAGATCCGTGTTACCTGTTTGTCTTTGAACGCCAACACAGACCCAATAATCGGCGAGAAGCATATCACAATCGTCCTTGGTCGTGGGGTTCCAGCTCACAAACTCGTCGATGGATTTTAGACCGGACTTATCTACCGTTCGCTGACATGTATCGCCGGGCATAACGCGGTACCATGAGTTGCAAATTTCCGTCTGCCCCGCGAGCGTCTTGGTAGGTGGCCATACATTGTCGGTACTGGTAGTCGACACGTTCCACGAGGTGACGGGGTGCAAGACAGAATAAGTCGAGTTGTACGAAGTGGTCGTCGTCGCAGGTGTTGACGTGATGGCCGTCTGAGAATTGGTTCCGGAGGAAGATGAAATGGAGCCAGAAGTGAACGTGGATGTAGGACGCGAGGATATGGTAGGTCTGGTACTGGTTTTTCCGACGCTCACACAGTAGGCCGAGTCGAGCCAAAAGTTGTCGCGACAGTCGGAGGAAACCGCGGGGTTCCACTCAAGGAACTGCTCCGTGGATATACCGTAGGCTTGAGACACGATTTGACAATTCTCGTCCTTGACTACGGTGTGCCATCCGTTGCAGTTCTCGGGCTGGCCCGGGTGTACTGGACCTGTAGGACTGGAGTCTTGGGCACCGACGATTGTGAGAAGTAGTCCCGCAGCCAGGCAACGCGTTTGTTGGCTCAGTAAACGCATGGTCGAACTTGACACAGCAGCTAGGCGAGCGGCTGGCTATCGATGTAGTCGAGAGACCAGTGTGTACAACCAGTGCTCGAAGACTGGAGCTTGACGCAAGAGGATTCCGAAATGCTCTGGTTCTGCTATGCATGTACGGAAACGAATGAACACACCCTGAAGCCCAGGTGTGAGGGGATGTCTAGCGGCTCGAAAACCAGAGTGCGATACTAGAATACCCATTGGGTACATGCCGAGTTTGTTAAGGCCAGCCGTAAATCATTCCAGTTGTCTGACTGATGCAAGGATGTATGTCTGGGCAGGGTCTTTTAGGTAGAGCGGCGATGATGCTCGCTTCGTAGCCGCATGTCGTAGTGCTTGATGGTGCACCTCACAGGTTTAGGCTATCGGCGCAGATTCTTAGTGGGGCTAAGGCGGCTAAGCTCACCTGCAGGAACCCGCCGTGCCGCCACGGACAAAGTTTTATCATCCTCTTTCTTCACCACGTTACATTGCATGCCTTAGCCTCAGGATTCTGCCAAGCATAGCTCATATGGGATGCAAGCAGGGCGTAATTGATAGGGGTCGGGACCTGCCCTTTTCGATTACCACGACCGGGACAAGTGGGGACGTATGATTGAAGCTAACATCTTATGCTGACTGGATGACCATCAGGGCGGGAACTGCACACCGGCAAAATTTATTGGCGCATTCTATCGAAAGAGACTGTAAGCGAAAGGTCACAATAGAGATGAGCATCTACCTGCGTAGGCAGCCTTGCGCAAGGCCGAGACCAGGGTCGGATGGGGCGTGAGTCCAGGTAAGTTGTGTGCTGTTCACTCGGCGCAATTAATCTTTGAATACTTGTTACCGCTGCTTGGTTTTTGGATATCACCAATTCGCCGTCTCGAGTGGAAGTCACTCGTTAGCTCATTCACTCATACACTCGTTCACCAACACACTCGTTCGACATGCATCTTTTTCCCATTATCATCTTTTTGCTCGCTAGCGCCGAAGGGGTTCTTGGTGGCAGTAGGTTTTGGGAGGCCAAAGCACCCAACAAACGTACAAACCCTCGCCCTGACTACTCAGCCATCGAAACCATCAACGCGACTTCGTCGCTCAGCAAGCGCGCTTTTTCCATCGAGAGCCGGCCAGGTCAAGCAGAATTACCCCGCATCTGGCCAAAAAAGACGATCAGATACTGCTTCGAAAACTCGCAGGGTCACGATAAGCTCGAGGGCCTCTTCAGGTCGGCCATTGAACTGTGGGCTCAGCTCAATAGACATGGCTTCAAGTACGAGGAAGTCTCAGATGCAGAATGCAAGTCTGAAGACAAGCGCGACTCAGTGTTGCACATCCATTACAACGACTACGGCAGGTTTTCCACGACGCTGGGCATTCCCGTGGTCGACGCACAGGAGATCGTGGACAACCCCACGACAGCCGTCCGTGGGCCAACCATGCACCTTTCTGACAAGGAAGGTGTCGGTCAAGAAAACACCCCCGCCAATATCGCCCATGAGTTAGGTCACGCCTGGGGCCTTGCTCACGAGCACCAAAATCCGTATTACTGGGAACAGAGCAGCATCACTGGGCCCTCTTGGAGCGTTCCAATGACCGGGAAAAAGTACTTCGAGACCGACGACTTCAATTGTGGAAACCTAGAAGACCATTATAAGATCCACAAATCAGTACAGGTCCTGATTGATACGGAAGTGGACGCCAGAAAGCGAGATATCTTGCAGGGAGAGTACAACAACCTTTGTGTCTTGCGCGGCGTTGCCAGCAAATACGGTTTCAGTGCTGCTGATTGGCTTCCCATTAGCAACACTGCGAACATGGTTATAGACGCGCAGTTTGACCCAGATTCGATCATGTTGTATCCTTCTCAAGCTGGTGGCGGCGATAATGGCGCGAACCGACGTATCATCATGAAATACAAAAAAGACTCCATGCCGAACCAAATCATCCCGATTCGTCACCGCCCAAGCAACATGGATGTCGACCGGCTAGTCGCGCTCTACGGCGATCCCACGCCTTCCACCCTGGAGGTGCCGCACAATTCAGGTTCAAGCGGCTTTCATGGCAGACTCGGGAAGGCGAGGAGCAGTAAAGAATTTTCTCGCGCCGGGGACACCAAAGATGGTGCATGCTGATGAGTACCGTGTATGCAAGTACCCGCCAAGTTCATTTATAGATCATGTAAATAGAACGTCGTGATAATTACTGGGCACTCTTAGCTACAATCATATACATGTCACCATAGCAGTGTAAGCACCCCGTGAAACTGGGGGTTGATCTTGTCGAGGGAATAAATAAAGGCAAGCGGGCCCCCGCAGGCCGTGCACTGGTCGCGGACTTCACGCGGACGGGCAAGGATCTTTGCTATTGAGTAGAAGATAATTTGCGACTGCGATTGATTCATGGCTATGAGGGTCACTCATAACGAAAGGGTAATGAAATTGTTATGCGAACACGCTCGGGTTGCTAGCTACAACTCAGGCCTTGCACCGCATTCAAAGAGCTGTCTTGGTTTGTACGTGGGCATCGGCAGTCTCTCGATGTTTTCGCCGAGAGCTTTTGTAAGCGTACCATCGTCGAGATCTATAGCCCAGACCATGGTTCTGCATTGTTGTTAGCAAATGGTCACAGATTTGCGATGCATCAAGAACAAAATCGTCGCACTTACCCTCCTAAGCAGTGCTGATGAGCAAAATCGACCTTTGTTCCCAACGTTTGAGTGTCGTCGAATGACACCCACTGGTTCGAGTCCCAAGTGACAATCTTGACAGCCGCCTCTTCATCGTGGGTGACAGTGGCGCCATTAGCGATGACCTCGTTGATTTCCGCCGCCGACAGCACGCCGGGCGTGCCCGTGCATGCGCCGCCATTAGCGCCATCGCTAAACTCACAGCCAGCCGTCATGCATCCAGGGTCCTTCATCGTGAAGCTGCGACCATAGAACCCAAGACCCAATACAACACGCTCTGGGTTGATGTTGTTGCGCCACAGGAGCTCGAGACCCATCTTGATTTCGGTCAAGTTCGTATGAGCCTGGGCAATAGGGCCGAGACTGTCGATGCTGGCGTCCCAGACACCGTGGATGTCGTACGTCATCATGTTGAACCAGTCGAGATATGGCTCCATTCCTTGGAGATTGAAGCCGCGGAGATACCAGTAAGAGGCAGGCTATTGGGGTCAGTCGCGATGGAACAACAAAAAGTATAGCAGGGACTGGTTGCTACTCACAAGAGTCAGGCTAATGCCGTATTCTCGACCTGATGAGTTCAAGCGCTCGCGAAGCCTCCGCAGAAGATTGACGTAGTTGTCGAAGTCTTCGGGTATGCCGCCTCGATCCTCAGCCACAGGACTGAAGCGCGTGTGTCAGCTTAGCCAGAGATGATGAGAGTTTGTCACTTACTACTCCCAGTCGAGATCAACGCCATCTAGGTTATATCGCCTCAAGAAAGTCAACAGTGAATCGAAGAACTTGTCTTGGTTTGCTTCGCTGGCGGCCATGTCGGAGAAGGCGGTCCGGTACGGGCCGGGATCGTTCATAGCCCAGCCTCCAACAGCAATCCAGATCTTGAGGTTAGGCTGCCTCTCCTTGAGGGCCGCTACACGACCGTATCGTGATCCGGTACCTGGATCCATGTCCTCGATGTGGAACGTATTGGGGTTGATGAGAGCAAAGGCAAAGTTAATGTGCGTCCAGTGACCCAAGGGAATGTCCTCAGGCTCCATGTTACCACAAGGGCGCTGGAAATTCCAGCCCTCGTAGTAGCCGATGGTGCGCGCGTCGGCACTCCGCTGCGAGAGGTCGCACTGGGGATGCGGCACAGGATTGGGGCCGCAGAAGTCAACCGTCGTGCCACAGAAGCCATGCTCGCTACAGCACACGTTGAGTGGGCAAGTGGTGAGGTTCGCATACTGGAGACCCCAGGTGCCAGGATCGCATTCAGATTTACGACTACAATCGCTGGTGCATTTGTCGCCGCAGAAGACGGGACCAAAGCCACAGGCACCGGTACCGGTGTCATCGCTAACGACTATCATTAACATCATGGCCGATAATACATGTTCATATCGACGACTTACAGAGGTCCGCAGCATCCAAGGTCACATGACTTGGTTGCAGTGCATGTGTAGTCGGGCTTCTCATTTGCTTTGATAAGCATCTCTCTAGCCTCAGGCGTGGTTTCCTGGCCAGCAACGTTCTCCATGAGTAGCCTGACTTCCGCCTGTCCGCCGAAAGAGCCCAGATCAAGTGCTTCCGCAGTCAGAAGGAGGCCCAGGCTGAGGGCCAGGCCCTTGAATGAGACACCTCTGGATGTCATGATGATGTGGAATGAGTGTTTGTACAACAAGTTTCAAGAAACAAGAAAAGCGCGATCAATGTCCCCAGCTAGAACGACAGCCTGACGAAGAGCGTAGTGATACCGAGTGGGACGACATATTCACGACCGGACGATGGTCGAGCGGCGCGCAGCGCCAATTCCCGTCCCGTACCTGGCTCACAGCTGCGGGTATCAGGGGTGGCCTGGCAAACATGCCACCAGGCCCGTAGGCGAGCAAGGCGAAATCAATAAGAAACTCATTTGCTGTAGTGTCAGCTCCGGCGCGATGTATGTGCCAAGATGAACGAAGGATGAGGTTGAGTTTGTCAAGGTGGGTCAACGCGAGGACCCTGCCGAGCCCGGACGCCACTAAATTCCGCCCTGCATTTAGCCGCCGAGCACCTCCATCGTTTTAACCTCTATCAGCGACCTCCGACACTATCTCGTTGATGCAGGTACGCCCTGCAGCATGCGCCTAGGTTGTGAACGCAAATGAGCTGGCTCGTGAGTGGTGTATTCGTACGTACCTGGATGGGATTCTACCATTGTCAGGCCGATACGCTGATGGTACCTGGGTAGGTCTCCACCAAAGAGACTTTGTCTTGGGTAGCATCGCGTACATACAATGCTGCCTGCCTCATCCGACTTAGGCTTTTCGCCCCCATATCAGACGGGAACGTTCATCTAGTTCTCGCAACCGAAATGTCACCCTGCAGACTACCAGGGTGAATTCATTGACGATATCCATAGTCTGGTCTTGGCTGAGAATCATGGTGCTGCGTTGAAGCGGCGAAGGGTCATCCCGACATCCAGACGCCTGATCATCAACCGCCTTTGGCTAATTCTTCTCCCGTCTCTTCCGAAGCTTTGCTTGCTTGTTCATAGTCTATGAGCCTAGCTCACACGCTCGCAACGTTGGTCATTCGCCCTACGCCTCACGCTCGTTCTTCATTGATGTCTCTCGTTTAGTCCGGTAACACCAATCGACATGATTATCACGTTGATCTTGGGCCTCTCGGTCCTGATCAGCTCGACGAATGGCTACGTTCCACACCACGCACACCATGGAAGACATGCCAGAAGTGCAAGACTATATCAACGTTCAGAAGCTGCCTCATCTGTCAACTCGTCCTCCTCGCCGACACCACCTACTCTTCGCAAGCGGGATGATGATCCAAGCAGTATGGAGTGGATCAAACGCTGGGCAGCCATTGGCGATAGCTACACAGCCGGCATCGGTGCTGGAAGACCTCTCGGCCACAGGATCACCGCGGACGAGGTAGCTATCAGAGTGCCAAGTGGGCTGGAAGAGGTTCGAGACAACTGGAAGTGTTCCAGATATGACATGGCATACCCCAAGGTCATAGAGGCACAGTTTGGTGCTCACATCGAAAAGGACGGCGGCTTCCAATATCTCGCCTGCAGCGGCGATCGTTCTGAACAAATCTATCAGCAGGCGCAGGCCCTAGAAGGCAAGCTCGACTTCGTCACTTTCACCTCTGGCGGAAACGACCTTTGTCTTGCCAAGATGATCGCAGATTGCATTATGCTGCCCTACGGCAAGACCTCCGCCTGCGAGACCGTCATCGCAAAGGCCCAGGAAAATGCCAAGAATATCATCACCGACAACATCTTTCAGATTCTGGAAGCCCTCAACGAGAAGATGAACGACGACGGCATCGTCGTCGTGAACAGCTATGCTCAATTCTTCGACACACAGGAAGACAATTGCGATCGCCAGTCATGGGATTTCTTTTGGTTTCTCCCATTAGGTTCCTCGTACCGAGCTCTCACTATCGAACGTCGCCACGTCTTCAACCAGCTGGTGCTTGACATCAACCAGGCGATTCGCGACGCTGTTGACAAAGCCGCCAAGAGTGATAAGATCAAGTACAAAGTTGGCTACGCTGATTGGGATTACTGGGTCTCGAATGAGGTGGACGCCCGAATGTGCTCGCCGAGTAGCAATGGCGACTATCCAGACCCAAAGCAACCGAACATGCACTTCATCAAGCCCGACACGCACCCTTGGGATGAATGGCAAAACGATTTTGAGCGCACGGAGCTACGCAAGCGCGACATGGATTTTGAGGAGATTCTAAACTCGACGAGGCTCTCCAACTCGGAGAAACGCCAGGTAAATCGCATCAAAGCTATGATGGAGGCTCGCGACCGAAACCTCGAACGTACACTCTACGACTCCATCCTTTACAAATCACCTGATCCACGTGCTGCTGTCAAGCACAAACTCGACGCCCGGGCTCCCTCACCACCAGGCTGCCCTGGGGATGGTGGCTTCGATATGACCTTTGGCATGGGCATGCCCGACACGATTGGCCGTAACGTAAGTACTAGCTGCATCCAGGCATATGTCTGCCAACGTTCCTTGACTGACGTCCGCAGTTCCATCCCAACGAAGCCGGCCACCTGACCATAGCCTCCTTCGCCATCTCAGAACTCATGGACCTGCGCGCCATCGTTCTGGGCGTCGACTCACCCGCCTGCACCGCCGTCAAAGACGAGTTCACATGTTTCTCCAAGACGGGTAGCAAATTCTACGTCAGTGGCAACCGCACCAATGAGAACTACGAGGGGTTCTGCAAGGAAGTTCAAGACAAGCACGACAAAAACAAGATCAACTGGAGTTACTCCAAGACCTACGACGAAGGCACACCAGAACAGCACGACTACGTCGTCACCCTCAGCAATGGTGTTTCGGGATTCGACAAGGACGAGTGCGTGGACTCAATGAAGAAGATTATGAACTCATGCGACACATCCGATAACCCCATGAACTGGAAGGGTGGTGGCAGATACATTCGCGGCGGCGGAGACTACAAGTACGAGCTCAATCCCCGCCGCAGTAACCGCCCCTGGCCGCCGCCAAAAGCGCCATATGGTCGCTGCGAGGGCTGGTACAAGGGGACTCACGGACGCTACAAGGTCGAGGGTGCTGGCTTCTCGACCTGGGATTACGGGAAAGACACTCTTCGGCCTAACATGAATGGCTGCTATGGCCTTGGTACAACCTTTTGGAAGTTCGAGTACTTTGACAATCCGGCTGATCATGATGGGCACGAGTGGTATGCGACGTTTAGTACGCCGATTTGGGTACGCGCGAGGTGTTGGGCGAATAACAAGATTGTCAAGGCGGCGGGTGGATGGACGAATGGGTGTAGTGGTAATGATTGAGGTGTTTCTTTGCGCTTTGTATATACTATCGAATGACACCGGTGCTTGCTTTGTCACATTGCCAAGGCAGGCTTTCATGAGCGCTTTCGGAACTTGACCCAAGTATCTATACTTCTTCACATTCTCCAACACTGAATCGGACTTCGAGCTACCTCCGGCTTCCTCGTTTCAAGCGATTCGCATGCGAAAAGACAATCGCGAATGAGAAGTTTACGCCAAACCAGGAAAACACTAACCACCCTAGAGCCTACGTTGACGTTAAGTCACCTATTCTGTGAGTTCTTGTTTTAATGTAGTCTGCAAACCGGTCCAGCGTTTTCTTGTACGAGATGAGTTTATCAACTCCAAGTACCTCTCACCCTAATCACTATCCGAATCAAGTTCCATATCCGAAGATTCCTCTACCGCAGGCTCTTGTTCTTGCTCATCCTCAGATCCCGCTTTTGGCTCAGACTCCGGTTCTTGCTCGTGATCATATGTGTATTCACCCTTCAGATACGCAATCCTGTTCCGCACCGTTTGCTCCGTGTCGTTGAGTTTCTCGATGCGGTCGTCATGTCCCTCGTCAGCGTCGTCGCCGTATTCATCGCGCGCCTCTTCGCGACCCCTGCGTTCGCTACTTTGCTGTCAATCTCGGCTCTCAAGGATGTTTTGCGGTATAATAAGCAGTTTTGTGATGGAGGTGCATAGCGGTGGCTCATCAAAGGATGTCGTGGTAAATGAGAGGGTAGGTGGCTTACGCTTCCATTTCAGCAAGCATCTCTTCATTGTTGGCTTGCTCATTCTTCATCCACTCGTCCTTGTCAGTATAGCCTTCGTCTCGCTTGGCCTCCCAGTTCTTTTGATGCTGTTTGTAGTCATCCTCGTTGCCGGACATGATGGGCGTTTAGTACTTGATTGACTAGGTAGTGATCGTGATCACTATGGTTTTCTGGGTTCTTCGAGTTCGCTGACTGGTTACTGTATTGTCGACAGGAAGAAAGAACGACGTCGGAAGGCCGAGCAACAATTATATACCCCTCTTCTATTGCGCAAGGCTGAACTTACAGGCCATGCTCATCCCCACAAACTAGGCTGGATTGAGGCATTCCTGCATTGAACACGGCAGAGTTGTATGCCTTTGGAGTAATGGTAAGCGAACCCACAGCCGCCCGGTTGCCTTTTGATGAGGCAAGGTGACAGTTGATGCCCGCTGCCTCTCGGGCCGCCGGAACTGTCTTAGTCTCTGTACGCGCGCCTGCAGGCTTATCAGAATGGCCAAGGATGATCGAACAATGGCCGTGTTATATGCACTCTGAAAGGCTTTCTGGATATGTGGGTCAGGGAAAGCATGGGGTTTTCTGGCGGGTTGGAGTTTGCGCTGTATGACTATCCTACAACAATGCCTGATGCACTAGTGCGGCTGGACAACAATCTTGACTTCTAATGCCGATTGCTCGAGCATGCCGGGTTTGGCGTACAAGACGATACCAGACTCGCGCCTGGTCATGATATCAGGGAGGTGTAGAGTGGTGCAACTATCCTTCACGGTCAGCAAAACTGGAGTTCACCGAGTTCATATGACATGAACAGAACAAAACCATATAGGGAGTCGTAAACCGCTAATCATATTCAGTCCAACGCCATGCTGATGCTGAGAATCATGCCGTGATATAGTACAAAGTCTTGGTATACACATCATCCACCTCTTGCCCATCGAATTAACCCTTGACCTCCTTCTCGAGCAGTTCTTTCGCTTCGTTGACCTTGGTCGCAAGGTATGGGCTGCCGCCTCGATCGGGATGGTTGAGAAGCATAAGCGATCGGTGCTTCTTCCGTAACAGTTCCTTCGTGATGCCGCGTTCGCTAGAAATAGTCAGTCCTCTGGTTCCATAAGGCATATATGAAGATTCGTTGGACTTACGGCATCTCTAATATAAGTGCAGCTTCTCTCCGTGTCATCTTGGGCTCAAAGCCGCCTTTGTAGTATCCACGTCCTAGTGCTCCGGCTCCACCGCCTGATCTCCGTAACGCCACGAGAGCTGCGCGACCCTATTCAAATCCGTCAGTACATCTTCGTCGTGTATTATCATATTCCGACAGTTCCCGATCCAGTCATAATAGAAGGGTGACTAGGGAAATTGGAGGCCATACAAAGAAAGCAGTGGCACCGGCGCCCAATATCCAAACCCAGGCAGACATCTTTTGGCGCTCTTCTGGCTCGACTATGCGATATTGGCGTACGAGTTCCGGGAGGGTAGAAGTCGCGATGCGGGTACGAGATACGTCAGATGGCGATGCTTTGGTGGATGGCGGCGGCGAGGTGGTCAGAAGGAAATTTGCGGAGGTGCCTCGGTCGACAAGCATCGCAATTGGCGGGCCAGAATGGCAGGTGGGTTGGCATGCACGGGCCACCCAAAATTTCGAGCCGGCGAACTTCTCGAACCTCAACCTCCACACCTTTACACGACACCCGCCTCACCACCGCCAACTAAGTGTAGCGTGGTCGATCCTTATATATCCCGATCTCAGCCCGTGCTGACGATTACTGCGACGTGGAAAAGCGCATATCTACCCACGATAAGAACGAGCGCGATCGCATTCGCGCCACGACGACAAGATGAGAATCGAGACTTGCTACTTCTGCTCTTCGCCGGTATACCCGTCCAAGGGTATAACCTTTGGTATGCATAGATAATCACACCTCACAGATATCCTTGCTGACTCTTCCAGTGCGCAACGATGCAAAGGCCTTCCGCTTCTGCAAGAGCAAATGCCACAAGAACTTCAAAATGAAGCGCAACCCCCGCAAGCTGGCCTGGACCAAATCCTTCCGCCGCGCGCACAACAAGGAAATGACCGTCGACTCGACCCTCACCTTCGCCCAGCGCCGCAACGTGCCCGTGCGATACAACCGCGACCTCATCCAGACCACCCTCAAGGCCATGGGCCGTGTATCCGAGATCCGGCAGAGGAGAGAGCGCGCCTTCTACAAGGCGCGCATGCGTGGCAACAAGCAGAGGCAGCGTGAAGAGGACAGGAAGTTGGTCGAGGAGAACCAGCACTTGCTGCCGCCGAGCGAGAGGTTCGCCAAGGAGGAGGTTGAGCAGGAGGAGATGGAGGTTGATGTGCAGAAGGTCAAGGACAAGGTCGCGGCTAGGAGGAAGGAGCTTGAGGCTGAGGAGAGCGAGCTCAGTGAGCTTGAGGAGGAGCTGCCCAAGCAGAAGACCAAGACGAAGAAGATGCTGAAGAGGAAGGTTGGTGGCGGTGTTGAGGCTATGGATGTTGACGAGTAGGACTGGTAATTTATGTCTTCCGCGATATAACAGGACTGTCTCGGCAGTCAGTGAACGATCTTCCGACACAGTCACGGAGTTTGGCGTCTCATATTATGGTAGATTACGGACATGATTTCGATACCACAGTAAAAGCATGTTGCAATTCCAAAAGCTCGTTTGTGGTGTGTAGATTGATGCAGCATGTACTTGAGAATGCTTATTCACGTTGACACACCGCGATCTATCATATGCATCGCACTGAGGTTCCGCATCTTTATCAGACATTACTCTAATCACGACACTCTTGGGGAGCATGGCATGCATTATGGGATAGCCGTGTCCAACAGTGGCTTCTTCCAAGGCTATCCACGTGATCGCGCACTGACGCGCTAATCTCGATCGAGACGAGGCTCGGCTCCAGTTGAGCTCCGGGCTGCCGCTGCCACTGATCCGTCCTATGCTACTTCCCTCAACCACTACATCCATTCGATGCCACTTGCGGCCGGCGCAGCGCGCTTCTCGTTGGTTCGGAGACACGACTGGACACTGGTTCCAATGATTGACATGGCGTTCGAGCACAGCTTCATGTCGCGTAGCCTTGCAGCGCCGCAATGACTACGCGTGCAGCCTCTTCGCGTCGGTGCACGCGCGACACAGCCTTGCGTGGGAATGGCGCATTCCTCAAAAGTCAAGGCTGACATCCTTCCGCTTCCAGAGAAGCTTGATGCTCTTGAACTGCTTTACTGGTATCGACGGGTAATGCTATGAACGGCTCATAGGCTACGATGGCCTCACAGCTTTTATCAGGCCAATGGCCGGGCCTGACACCACTCCAGCATGCAGTATCATGATGCTTTGTGGCTGTCAGATTGCTGCCAATCGCCACGCAACAGCTGTCCGCTTTACCGGTGACGCAGAGCGGAAGGCTTTCTGGCCTTGGTCATCCCCACCTCCACTGCTACCTTCCTTTCGAGCTACTCACGCTCTCTTGTGAGCCTTTTGTGGAGCCTTGGGAGCCTTAGTGTCTTGTGTTCAGAGTCAAAACTCAAATCCTGTCGAGATGACCCCCTCCAAGCAACAAACAATGGCCGTCTCGATCGTTGCAGGCACCAACGGCCTATTACAGCTGGGCTTATCCATCTCTGATCTAGCCTTACTGATCGACCAAGGCAAAAAGTTCGGCAATTTTGTTCGCGCTGGACAAAACGACAACGATCTGTTTGATGTTCTCGATGAAGACCGAGAAGCGGTACTCAAAAGGCGTGGACTTGCGAATGCAACTGAGATGGAGAAGAGATGGCCAATGATGGATTTTGTCCACCAAGGAGTAAAGGTAAAGGGCACGATCGTGCAAGGCTCGCGAACTGGATCGTCTTTGCGCGACGCGAATCATCGGAAAAAGAAGGCGAGCGCTCGCGACGATGTGGACAGCTTCACGTGGGTTATGGTCGCGATCACTTCCGCGTTGGATGAATGTCTGCCATCAAGTGAGATTCAAGAGATGCTAATTGACGTCTTTGTCGAAGTATTGGGTCGCGACGATGACATTACACCTGCACTGAGAGTGACCATCAAAAAGAACATCGAGTCTTGGAGGTCTTTCGGATGTGCTAGGGAGATAGCCTTCGCGATCAAGAAGGAGATGCGGAAGAGTCTAGCGAACGGCACATCCGATCCGTCCTTAGCACGTGCCATCCCTCAGCTGAACGAAGCAGAAACGGAACACACGAGACATATGCTGATATGGCTCCTCAACGGGGATGTGGCCGTCTTCAATGCCATGTCTCCAATCACCTTTTCTATTGCTGAAGCTTTGAGAAAGGTCAATCTCTATCTCTGCACGGATGGTCGCCCTGCCCACGAGGGACAAGCATGCGTCATGTATCATCATGAAGGTCAACGTCTTGGAATGCCTGGCTTCGGCACCATTCCGGTCCCAAGAGGATTAAGTTCCAGACCTCTCCAGATCTCATGGCCTCGCGACAATCCTGAGTCAATGATCGACGCGCTTGGAGTCGGTCGCTTGTTGGAGAACCTCATGAATCAATCCTGGCAGCGTGGGAAGATTGCTGCCGGTGCTATGGAACTGGTAGGACAAGCGGACGGACCGTATGAAGCCACTCAAGAGGTTTATTACTCCCTCCAGGTTTCTGACCATACACGCGTCAGCAAAAAATACGACCCTCACATCGGTATGCTCGCCGATCAAGGACTTCCCGCAGACACCGAAGACACATATAGTGCTCTGGAGTGGATTCTACAAGGGGAGCCACCAGACAGCTCGCGGTGGCTTCACAACCATGTTGCGCAAGACTATCTGCTCCGAGTCGACAAAGCAGATGCGCTTCCCGAAGATCTGTACAGACCGGTATATCTCAAGTACCAGGCCTTTGTATTTGGCTTCTACTATCAGCTTCTGACACAACTCTTATCCTTCACATTGGTGGAAGCTACCGCCTTCTTCCATGGGATATGGGGTGCAAACAGCACAACATTCTTAGCCATGTGCACTCAGCTCGGTCGATGTTGGCGGCGGGATGAGAAAGTTAGTCGGGCCCATATGCTCTATGTCCTTTCAGCAATGTACAACGGCCGTCGCAAAGTTTATGACACAGACTCGAAGCTTCCCCGTCTTATCGGTGTTCTTGGACCCATCTCGGTGCTAGCACTGCCCCTCGTCCGTACTACAGACGACCCCAAGGAAATTGCCAGGATTGCCATCGTCGACCTGCCAATAGTTGATCTCAGCGCCGAGGGTGCTGATGGGGATCTCATGGCAAGCGAAGGCGGAGGAATACGTTTCGAATTCCCTGGTACGGACGACAGCTCCACAACTATCACACAGCCAGCTTGTCCCAAAGACGACTGGATCGTACACCCATACATGAGCATAGCATTAGGTGGAGATGGCATCAGTGGTGTGGTCATGGCAGCTCGGTGTGGCAAGAGGCTTGTTGGGTGGTTCAACCCACTGGCTGCCGACATTTCCTTCCTCAGTCCAGCCTATGTGAAGGAGTCCTACAGTGAAGGCGATGTGGTTGCATTCGAAGTAAGGGACGAACACTGGGAAGCTGGCAAGGCTCTACAGCCAAGCTTGAGCAACCCGGGCTCTGCATTCGGCGTCGTACGCTCTCACAAATCTCCCAGTCATCGGTATGCCGCTGCTGGTTTCTATGCTGAGCGAGGCGAAGAGATAGCGATTGCTCGTTCCGCTACTGAATTCCGTGGCGCCTTCGACAGGATCGAAGCGCAAGATCGCGGTATGGTCATCGCGTGAATGCTCCGCGCGGCTCTCGATTTCGAATAGTATCAGATGAATTACATTTCACTCTTCTCGGCATCTTCACGAAGAAGTACTACTAAAACTACTGCTGCGTCCACAGATGTTCGTGCTGAGGTCAGTTTCTGAGTATGCAGGCTACTCTTATTCCCATAAAGCGGAGGATCTGCGGCTCACGGGTGAAAGTTGGGGTGGGGCCCGTGCGTTGAGCTGAGTCGATACACGACGGAACTGGCACCACTGATTGCGCGATCGTCGGAGCACAGCTTTATGTCGTGCAGCCTTGCAGCGCCGGGATGGCGATGCGAAGACGCTGCACGCGCGACACAGCCTTGTGTCCTCAAATGGCGGCCTTTACCACTCAAGGCTAACATACTCCCGCTTTTAGAGGGCCCGAAGGCTTTCAGAGGCTTTACTAGTGGCAACAGATAACGCTAGGAGCGACTCACAGGCTATGATAGCTTTGCAGAGTGTGCCAGGCCAATGGCTACACTACAACATCCAGTACTCTAGCAATATTCCAAGTGTCTGACAATTGGCTTGCCTCGAATAGATGAGCATGGCAGGTCGGCGACCAGACCAGAGAACGCTAAGTAAGATCCGCAGCTTGCGGGTAAATGCGGGGTGGGGGCCAAAGTATGTCGAACTGAGCGCGTGCTCACCACTCATCAACACGCGCCGCTGGTACTTTCTTTTTATACCTGCTCGGATCATCTCGTCATCAACTTCGTCCCACGCCAACAGGTCACCTTCGCTTCCAGGAAGGCAATGCGTCGCGCTGTTCGAAGACTATGCATCGATTGACTTTGCTACTCCATGGCTATCTAGTGCATAGCCTTGTGCTGAAAGCCTAACGCCACAAAAAGAAGCGTGTGCAAATGAGCGGGAGTGGCTTTCAGGCATCCCTACAGCGCCACAATCGGGGCCGTCTGACCGCAGCAAAACGATCATGCTCGGCCCTGCTCCCAACGTTGTTAATGCGTTCAGACGCTTCCAGTCTATTTCTACAGACGGCAGTATTGCATAAACAGCTCACTTCTCTATACCTACGCAAGAAACCGTCTTCATCGGTGTCAAGCTGTCAAGATCTTACCAAATTATCGCAATGCGCCTTCTACAACGTTCGTCCGACTCTGTCGGCTTCAGCCTTGTTGAGCGGTTCAAGGACGAAGTCCCGCCTTACGCAATCTTATCGCACACCTGGGGTTCGAACGAAGATGAAGTCACCTTCTCAGATATGAGAGACGAGCGAGCCAAACGCATCCCTGGGTACAGCAAGCTAGTCTTCTGTTCTGAACGCGCTACTAGCGACAAGCTAGATTTCTTTTGGGTGGACACATGCTGCATTGACAAGAGCAGTAGTGCCGAGTTAACGGAAGCCATCAACTCCATGTACAAGTGGTACCAGCAGGCTGAGAAGTGCTATGTTCTTCTTTCTGACGTGGAAATCGATGTGCCTGTCGCAGACATATCCGAGGAACAATGGGTGCAAATATTCCACAGCAGTAGATGGTTCCAGCGCGGTTGGACACTGCAAGAGATGCTTGCGCCGAGAGTTGTCGAATTCTTCTCGAGAACGGGCAAATCACTGGGCGACAAAGTCACACTGCTACAGGCTCTCCATCTTCGAACCCGGATACCTGTTCTGGCACTCCAGAGCGGTTCACTAGAAGAGTTTAGCATCGACGAGCGCATATCATGGATTGAGGGACGTCAGACGAAAAGAGAAGAGGATTCAGCATATTCTCTATTGGGTTTGTGTGACGTCTACATGCCGCTAATATACGGCGAGGGGTTTGGGAGGGCCTTGACCCGGTTGCGCAACGAAGCCGAGCGCTCGCTGCACGATAAAGTGCCAATCGATCTACCTGGGGCACGTCGATGGACGGTTCCTTTTCGGCGCGAAACCGAATTCCATCATGGCGACTGCTTGGAGAAGGTGTATCAGATATGCTCTCAGAACGGTGGCTGGGCGTCCCTGATTGGACCCGCGGGCGTTGGGTACGTTTCTCCGTTTATTAGTAGTGACAGGGTACTGATATGGCTATTAGGAAGACACGACTCGCTATCGAATACGCCTATCGAGTACGATTTCAGACCCCCACGAAATGGGTTTTTTGGATCAATGCAGAGACGCGCGCAAGTTTCAGAGAAGGTTTCAATGCGATCGCCGCAGCGGCGAAGATAAATCACTGGAACGACCCTTCTGTCGACATATGTCCAATCGTGTATAGATGGCTATGCGATATCGCAAATGGGCAATGGACAATGGTGGTTGAAAATGCTGAAGATGCCGACACCTTCTTCGTCTCACGCATATCGCGAAATCATGCAACAGCGGATCCGATTTCATCCGTGGAGCGACTCTCCAATTTCCTTCCAATATCGCCCAACGGGTCGATCCTCTTCATCACTCGAAATCGAGACTTTACGCGGGGGCTCAGGGGTGTCAACAGTGATATTGCGAATGTCGACGTCCGAGACTACGCTTCGTTCGACATAGAAGACCACGTAATACCAATTCTTCAAGAAACTCCAAATGCTTCCGAATCATCACAGCTCTTGGAAGACAATGTGGCTGCATTGCAACCGGGCAAAAGTAGAGCCGAACCCACAGCGCCTAGAAAGGAAGTCCCCGTGTATTGGACATCCGTAAGTCTGTTTCGCGGTTCTTGCTGAGATACGCTAACGTTCACATCAGCGTGGTAAGCGCATGTTCGACAAGTACGTTGACATAGACCATGGCGCTGTAAGGGAGCTCGAACGAGAGCTGCAAGCACGATACAAGACTCCCACGAAGAAGACGCCTCGGATCTTCGCACAGATACTGCGCACATCAAGTCGGCAGGGTGGAGATGGGAAAATGACAGACTTGGAGGCCGAACGGGGAGAGTGCGAGTTGCAGACTCGTTCCGGTGTACCCCGCCCAGTTCATACTACGGCCTCGTTTGAACGTGGATTCGAAGGTCGAGAAAGGGAGCCCCTTCGCCTGCTGGTCTGTGTAAACGCTCAAGGGAAGTTGAAATTGACGCAGGAGGATCTGCAACACATCAACGACGATCGTCAACTATTCCAGTACCTTCGAAAGCGGCTTTTGGCCAACCAACATCGGGTCACCCTCACAGATATCAGAAGTTTCACTTTGGCCAAGGTAGGCTTCCAGGAGAGATATCGTCTTACTTAGGACTGACTATTCACCAGTTCTCGCTCGATTACAACAACGACCCTGTGGTCTATACACACCAAGATTCGTGTAACGTCTTGACTAACGGGCTTTACCATCCAGATTCGGGATTCTATTGTATCTGCCTTCCGCCAGAAGAGATGGTCGGAAATGACAAGGAATACATTTGCAACCCAGCTCCAGGATCTCGGACCCGGCGAGTGATGCCGATCCTTGGTTTCAACATGTTGAAACAAGATCTTCTTGATCCTGATGCTATTGCAGCTGGCCAAAGAACAGTTCTTGACCAGCTTCCGAAACGGAGGCTACCTGGACAACTCAAAGCCATTCCAGGAAGCGATGTTACAGGTTGGGGTCTCTATATTGAGGCGAAGCGTTCTTCAACACGCGGTTGCTTCGTGTTCTTGTTCTTAGCGATAGTAGTGATCGGATTCATCCTGGGCTTTGTCGTCTTTAGACGGTTATAGGCGCGATTTTAGGATCAAAGACAGGGGTCTGTGGTCTACATTTTACTTCCCTTCGGAACCTTTACAATGAACCCCAGCCTCGGAAAATGGATTCTAACATCCAACTCGGCTTTCTCATCCGGCTTGATGACAACCTCTTCACTTCCAATCTTGACCAGTGTGCCTTTCGTAGGGTTACCGCGTCCAGTGTCATCTGGCACAACACTCACACTCGCCCCCGGTACCATCCCTCTCCGAGCATCCAGCACTTCATGCGGCGCAACCGCCGTAGGAACCAGCAGCTCTTCATCTTTCAGCAAAGGCGTCCGTCTCAGCGCCTCCTTCCACCGCATATCGCCTTCCTTCACTGTTACCTGCGTATCAGGCAGCCCATCAATATATCGCTCAAACGCCCCGAACCACCTCATCAACCCCGGATACCTCTCCGCATTAAACACCACCCCCACAACATCCTCCTCCCCATCCGTATCCCTCGCCCCGCCCCCACTCAGATCCCCAATCCCCCTCCCGGCCCCAATATCCATACCCCACCGTAATTGGTAATACAAACTCAAATCCGCCAAACTCGGCGTCTGCGTCGGCATCGCCCACGTACCCGACGTGAACATTGGTTCCAGCATCGAGAGGTGCATGTCCAGAAGCGAGAGGTTGTCTGGGATTTTGGCTTGGAGTTTTTCGGGCTGGATGGGGTGGCCGATGAGCTGCGCGCGGTCTTTACCGAAATCTGAGGACCAGACAGATGGGGGGATGAAACCTGTGGTCGTGCGGAAGAGGGGTTTCTGTTGTCAAATCAGCACATGATCACCACTTCTTCCCCTTCCGCCTTCCCCTTCCCATCCCTTCCCATTCCCTCATCAGAGCAAAACCACAAAACCACAACTTACATCCGTCCAAAACCCCGCAAACCCCCTCGCCATCGCCCTATACTTCCACTCCCCCACTCCCAAACCCACTGCTTCCGGATACACCGTACCCCAATCGTCAGCCGCGGAGAAGAAATGCTCCAAAGCCTCGATGATGAGCGAGGTGTCGCAGTAGATGTGTCGTCCGATTGCTAGGATGGGGATGCGGCGGTACTGCAGGCCGAATGTTGAGGTTATGAGGGGGCGGGGGAGCATGGAGGGGACGGGGATGTAGGCTGGGTGGTGTCCGTTAGTGATGGGTTAGTGATGGGTTAGTGGGGGGATGGTGATAGGATGGTGGTGCGGATGGTGGAGGCTTACAGAAGGGGATTCTTTTGATGCGGAGGGCTAGGCGGACTTTGTTTGTGAAGGGGCTTGCTGGGGTTTGGTCAGCAAGGTGAAGTTTGGGGTGGACAGGAGCGTGTTTACAGTCATAGCCGAATAAGACGACCGGTGGGTGATTTGTCGGAGGAGCCATATTTGCTTGATTAGGTTCTAGCAATTCCGTTGCTACATGTGCTTCTAAATTGTAATGTTGATGGGAGAGATACAATGGAGTGGTGATGCCGGGTCGTGATGTCGTCGTACCCCGCCCAGCCATTCATGTGCCGAGGTCCTGGTCGGGATGTACGGCATGCAACGTACAAGATCAAATATGTTTCGAGTATATCTTATATTATTGGATTTAGTGTTTCCGATGGTATGTGGGTCGCAACATCATTTTTTTGGAAAGAACTGGCAACTTGATCGACTTATTTCACGAGAAAGTTGTAGGGCGGAAGACCCCTGTGCACAATCATTCTGACGAAAGATAGCCCAAGAAGAATAGTCGTTGGTACTGCTTCTACAAACCCTTCTCTCGATTCAGCCTAATCCCCCTCTCAACCAGCCCTTCAATCCATCCATTAAACTCTTGCCTCATCTCCGCAGGCAACACATGCCCCTGACCCTTGATGAAATGCTTCTCAATTTCACCTTCCTGCCAAACGTCATCTTCCTCTTCAACACCCAACCAATTCTCCTTACCCGTCACACCCTCGCCTTTCTCCAATCCACGCCACAGCACAACGCCCAGAGGGAACGTCAGCATGCGATCTTTCGTTCCATGCACGACCATGATCCTGTTCTTGCCAACAGTCGTGGCGATCTGTTGGAGTTGCTCCGGGCTCTTGTGATGCCACCCCGCGGCAATGGCTTGGAGCATGAAACCCGCCTTACCAAAGTACTCTGGGTGCTGCCTTTTCCAGAGTTCGTTTGCGGCGAAGCGGTCGCCATTCGTAGGGAAAGCTTGGACGACGGGTTCGAGGGTGTCGGGCGAGTCGAGCCATTCTTGAGTGTAAAGATTCTTCTTCACGCCTTCGATTTGGGCGTCGAGCGATTTGGGAATAAAGAGGTTGGCGCGGTTTATGAGATTTTCGAGGAAGCCCTGGAGGTGTGAGCAGACGAAGGGTGTGTGATGTAGTGCTACGTACGGTTGTTCGGAACAGTTGTGCTGCTGTTGACACGAGAGAGAGTGTGCATATCCGCTCCGGTATCAACATAGCCTAGATGTTTGTTAGCGGTTTTGTATAGTCAAGGCATGACGACAGTCCGCAATAGGCAATTTCGCCGCATCCCCCACGATCGACATACACGGCCGGAGATCATATGTGCTCTACTATCGAACACGTGGGGGTGGGGTCAATCGAGCGGAGCGGAAGATGGAAGCGCCGATGAGATTACAGGATGATGCTGGGTATCAGAACTCCAGAGAAATGTTTCTGGCGACTACATGTCGAGGATTTGTGTTCGATAACGGAACGTGTAGCTTCCGAGTCGATGATCATGACGATAAAGATGAAGTGGACTTACTATCTCCTGAGCTATCATTCCACCCATGCTTATGCCAATGACGTGCAACTCACGTTTGCCGGTCCAGCCGATGTGGTCGAGCACTTCGACCAGGTCTTGCGCCATGGCAGAGGTGGAGTATCTCGACGTGGGCTTCTCGGAGTCGCCAATGCCCCGGTTGTCAGTCACCAGCGACGAGTACTGATCGCCTTTGTTGTGGGCGAAGTCTTTCGTCTGGCGCTGCCATGCATACTTCATGCCACCAAGGCCCATGACCCACTACATGGCGTCAGTCGTTGAGTCTTGACGATAACAATGTGTGCGGAAGATGCCGGAAGCGGCTATAGAGCGAAATGTATAAGTGTGCGAGTTGGACAACCTGAGACACGACGCAGACGAGTTGAGACGGTCATTGTGACTGAAACGAAACAGTGACAGGGTGCCGGTACCCGTGGATTGGTAGAAGAGGAACATTACAAATGCATCCCGGTCAAGAACAAGCTTTCTTTGGCGTGATATGCAGCGCATCATGTTGGAGCAGATATTAATACCGAAAGTGGGGCGACTTACCACGAGGTGTCTGTCGCCATGGCCGTGGACCTCGTAAGCGATGTTAAGGGGACCGCCACGGTCTTTGGCCACAACGGCCCTGCCTTTCTTTTCTGGTTTGAGATCCCAGATAGTGTGGTTGAATTCGGGATGTTGCTGCAGCTCTTCGACCGTCATTGGTGCCATGGCGGGTAGTGTTGCAAGCCTCGATCTGGAAAGTTAGTCAGAGGTTCGGGTGGAGTGTCAGGCAGGTGGAATGTCAGGAGGGGCGGAGATGCGAGGATGCGACGGGAGTGGTGGCGCAGCAGAGTGGACAACGTTGTCGTGTGGCTGCCGTTCGGCATGTGTCTCTTGGTAGCGGTGTGCCCATAGCGCATCCCGGCAAGCGACAGGTACGCGAGCGTTGTAAGCGGAAGGGACCAGGAATGCTGACGTACTATTCTTGTAGGCGCTTACGAGCCTTGAGGTTGTGAGGTCTAGGCTGCAGAATGAACAATCCCAGGCTTACACAGTAGTATGCTCTAGAGTGGTCTTTTCAATGTCAAAGAAATGAGATGGTGCTAGGGCGTATAAAGTTCTTCACCTGCCAAACGCGTGGGAGAAGCAATATCGCAACGTCATGTCTGCTAGCCCGTTTTCAGCCCAGCTGGCGTGGCTCGTGTCTGACTAAGGCGGGCTGGACGCGCGAACTACGGACGACGCGGCTCTCTAGGCTGGCCGTAGTTATTGTAGTAGACGCGGAGAAGAGCTGCCTCAGGTGTCGTCTCAGCTGCTGCCAGACGACTAATCACCCTTACCGCCATCCTCGTGTTGCCGTTTTTAGCGGGCGTTGCGCATCTGCAACAGGCCAAACAAGCTTTCTGCCTCACCCGTTCACCGTCGGCCACGATTCGACACTCGGCGAGTCTGCGACACCCACCCCCAGGGCCCTGTAGATGCGATCCTCGGCAGCGTTTCACCCTGCTCAGCACTAGACCTCCAGACCCCCAGCACGACACCCCTCCGCCCTCACAAAACACCACGACGCCCCGGATACTCGCGAGGGCCCAATTGCCCGACGACCTCACGACTGACGACATAGCGCCTCCTAATATCCGTGAACACCATGAACCCCCCTCCCAACGGCTTCTATGCCACCGGCCCGCCCATGATGAACCCTCCGCCGCCGCGTCTGTTCGGCAGCGGCACCTACGACCCGTCGCAGATGCCGCCGGGCAACATGTTCAACCTCGACGACGACGACCACAACGACAGCGACCCCAAGCGGCGGCGCATCGCACGGGTACAGCGCGCGGATATGCGGGTGACGACGGCATGCTGACAGGATGCAGGCGTGCGACATGTGCCGGAAGAAGAAGATCAAGTGCGACGGCAAGATGCCCTCGTGCACCCACTGCCAGAACTACAAGACCGAGTGCATCTTCACCCAGGTCGAGAAGAAGCGCCAGCCGCCAAAGGGGTAGGTGCCACCGTGGTGTTGCGCACATGGCATACTGACCGTGCACAGCGCCAAGTACATCGAGGGTCTGGAGAACCGCCTGGCGCGCATGGAGTCGCTGATGCGCCTCTCTGGCGTCCTGCCCGAAGACGACGATGGCAGCACCGACCTGGCGACCCTCGAGCGGCGGCTGGAGGCACGAGCCGGCCGATCCGCTACACCCCGGAATAGCATCGACGACAGAAGAGCTTCCATGGCACCGCCCACAACAGGCCAGTCGACCGCCAATGGCACGCCGGCCCAGCCAGCACTCCCCAGTCCGAGGAGCGGCACCGCCTCACCGGAGCCCCAAGAAGAGATGGACACCACCAAGGACAAAGACAAAGAAGAGGACGCGCTCGCCGAGATGATGTGTTCCTTGGTGACGAACAACTGCGGAGAGACGAGATATATCGGTATGTCCTCCATATCCGTCGCCTTCGCCACTAACACTTCCAGGTTCTTCCTCCGGTTTCTCCATCTTCTCGCCCAAAGGCATACAATGGGTCAACGAGAAGACCGGCGACAACTCTTTCCGCGACATGATCTCCACAGCTGCCGTCGAGGACAACAAGTGGATCCAATGGCGGCCCGACGTCTTCCAGGACATCTTCAAGCGCCGCGTCTACAAACAACTGCCGCCCAAGCATGAGGCTCTGTCTTTACTCAAGGACTACTTCGAGAATTTCAACTGCATGTTCCCGCTGTTCCACGAACCGACCTTTATGCATCTAGTAGACAAGCACTACTCGAAGGACCCATACGAAGGATCCGGCTGGTGGGCCAGTCTGAATGTGGCTTTGGCTTTCGCACACCGACTGCGCGTCATGAGCAATCTGGTCCCAGCAGAAGAAGACGAAAAGGCGTGGCAGTACCTGAAGAATGCGATGAGCGTTATGGTAGAGCTCACCATGCGCAACACCGATCTTCTGAGTGTCCAGGCTTTACTGGGAGTGGTATGTAGTGACGCACCATCGTTGTTTTCCCATCTAACTTGCCCAGGGTCTCTTCCTCCTTGGAACGCCAAACCCACAGCCTACCTACTTCTTCGTCGCTACCGCCATGAGACTTGCGCACAGCATAGGTCTTCACAAGAAGGGTGCCAACTTCAGTCTCAACGCCGCCGAGGTTGAGCAACGAAGGCGTGTATTCTGGATAGCCTATATGCTGGACAAAGAGTGAGTCTCCCAATCGTTCAACAGCATACACAGACTGACACCATCAAGTATTTGTCTGAGGTCTGGCAGACCACCTGTACAAGACGACGACGACATGAACGTCGAGCTACCGAGCGAGACTCCACCGGACAATATCGGCAACATCCCGCTCGCTGATGGAAAGGGCACCATGAACCTGTTCCGTCTCATGTGCACCTTCTCCGTAATCCAAAGTAAAGTCTACAAGGGCCTCTATTCCGTAAAGGCATCCAAGCAGACCGATGGCGAACTGCTCAATACCATTGGCGAACTTGACAAAGAGTTGGAAGCCTGGAAAGACGACATACCACTGGAGTTCAGACCAGAGCACGACATCAAGGCATCGCACACCCCACTCATCCTTCAAGTCGCAGTACTACATCTCGGATACTACAACTGCTTAACCACTATCCATCGCATGAGCGTACACCACGGATACTGGACTAGTCGATTATCCAACTTCGCGATACAAGGTCTCAACGCTCGCCCTCTGAACCCCAGAGTCTTCATGTCCGCCCAATTGTGTGTGCAAGCCGCCCGAGCTTCGATACATCTCTTGAAGTACATACCCAAGGGCGATTTATCATGTGTGTGGCTAGTCATCTACTTCCCAGTCACTGCTCTGGTCACGCTCTTCGCCAACATTTTACAAAATCCACAAGATACACGATCACGGTCAGATCTCAAGTTAATGAAGCTGGTCGTCAACTTCCTGAACATGCTGAACGACGACCAAGGCAGTGGCAGTGTTAAGCGCATGTGCACAGTTTGCGCTGAGTTTGAGCGCATTGCTACTATCGTGCTGGAAAAGGCAGATCGCGAACACGCATCGCGGCGGAAGAGGAAACAGGGTGACAGCGAACAGGATGCTCAGATCGAAGCAACCGCGGCTGAGCTTCTTTCGACAGGTCGTAACCCACAATCCCCACCTCAGCAAGTTACGACCCCACAAAATCCCCCCGCCCAAGAGGGTATGATCTTTAATCCCGATTTCCATGGATTCAACGAGGTAAGCTACACCACTATTGTGCTAGACCATCGCTAACATACGTAGCCCTTCCCTTTCTCACCAAACTTTACGCACGACTCTTTACAACCCAACATCCAAATGAGCCAATACGGATCACCAGGAATTACTGCGCAAATGCTCCAGCAATCGCAAAGTCTACCGATGACGACAGGCGGAGACATAAACGGCGTAAACGCAAACATCAATGCCATGGCAGGCATGGGCCAGTTCGACCAGACTCTGAACAACGTTCCACAAGACCTCTGGAAGATGCCAATGACACTGGAATGGGATTGGGCGGATATGACTGGTGGCTTCTCGGGATACGAGGATGGCATCAGCATGAACGGTGTACTTCCGGATTTCTCGAATAACACCGGCCACGGAACAAGCGAGTTCAATCAGGGCGCCATGAATGGCGGTCGATGATGAAGCGCATCTGCGGCCGATCGGATGGAGCTAGCCGTCCCGAAAATGGTGTTTCACAACATCGATCATTACGTCCCTCGTAACATGTCCTGGCGGCAACGAATGTATGTTACCGCCCTAATACAGCACGATCTTGCGTGCTTCGCTATATACCACTTCTCGCCATCGGAGGCATCTCGGTTTCCACCTCCCTTTTTGATCCCATAGCCATGTAACATAATGTTGTATCTCGAAACAAATACATCTTTGTAATAACACATCTATGCTACAACCCGAGAACGTCGCGCATGTACGGTAATCACGTCTTGGTAGCCATGTGCAAGATCGACCATAGGCTACCACTAACATCGCGCTAACGATCATAATCCGGAGATCCTCGCTGTACGATGATGCTTACCTCTTTGACGTGTGTCCACCCAGACATCTCGATTTGTCTGCCAACAATACCTGCGCTGATCACGTACTTCCACTCGACATCCTTCCTCTACCGTCTGGCGCCTTACTTGACCTCAACCCATTCTCCAAATCTCATCGAACCAACACACAATGAAGAACATAACCTCCCTCCTCTCCACCCTCATAACCGCAAACCACATCCTCTCTCACCACGCCGTCCTCGACCCCTTCGGCCACATCAGCGTCCGCAACCCAAATACCAACACCACTTTCTTCATCGCTCTGCAAATTGGTAGGTCGTCCTTCGAACCTTCCATCAACCATATATTTCTAAGATCCCTATCTTCCCTTTCATGTTAATCCATGTAATTTGAATTCATCGAGTATGTGTTGCAAGCAACGGCATATATATATGGGGATAAGTATGAGGTGCAGGGCCCCCGCAGCCTGCTCGCGATTGGGTGGGTTAAATGATTATGGGGCTCGGCGCGCCGAGCCCCCGGCCGATATCTCAATCATGTCAATCCATTTGCTCTCATGTCCACACTCCATCCTCATACTGACCCCAAAATAGGCCCAGCGACCGTCTCCAGCCCCGCTGATATCGGCGAATACCACTTCGCCGACGGCACACCTTTACCCGGTACTACGGGTGGATACGCGGAACGCTATATCCACAGTGAGATACTGAAGAGATATCCAGATGTTAATGCGGTTGTGCATAGTCATTCTGAGGATGTGTTACCGTATACGGTTGTTGAGATGGAGAGGGGGTTAAAGCCGATGTACCATATGGCTGGATTTCTGGGTAGAGAAGTACCGAACTTTGATATCGAGGATGTGTATGAGGAGGGAGAGCCGAGGGATATGCTGGTTAATAGTGTGAGGTTGGGTGGGGCGTTGGCGGAGAGGTTTGGGAGAAATGGGACGAGGGTTACAAGTCCTTTACATTCGACGGTTTTGATGCGCGGGTAAGTACTCCCCTGATACCAAACCTGATAGTTGGACATACGCTGACTATTGATTTTAACATGTAGGCATGGTTTTGTAACGGTTGGTGACGGGATAGAGCAGGTTACGGATTTTGCGTATTATGCGGCGAGTAATGCGAGGGTGCAGACGAAGGCGATGTTGCTGGCGGGGAGTCAGGGGGGAAATGTGAAGTTCCTTAGCAAAGAGGAGAGGAAAGCGACGAATGAGATGAATCGCTGGATTGTGTTTAAGCCTTGGAGGCAGTGGGTCATGGAGGTGGAGAGGAGTGGGAGGTTTGTTAATGAACTGGGGACGCCGCCGCTTGAGGTGGAGTGATGGGTCAAGATGGTCGGAGAGATGATTTGATAGCTAGCAGTCTTCCAGCTGATAAAGCATTTTGGCACTGAGAGCTAGAAAATTCATACTCGAGTTGAGCTGTATCGTTCGCCGCAACCGGATCGTGGGGTTGATGCCGATAGATCTGCATGACGCCATCTGCCAAGCCCCAACAGCTCGGGAGCGGAGGAAGGCGGTAGGCGTTCTTCCTCTCCGCTCTCTCGACTGCCGTTCATCCCCACTCACGTCATGTTGAAGTTATCCCACAACAGGAAGCTCGATGTACTACCAAGACCTTAGCAGCTGAAAAGACGTTAAGATGGCTGCGAGGTTCCCATGGATGCAGACATCCGCTCCTAATCCATGCCTGATAACGTGCTTATGCATACACATCACGACTACTCAAAAAGCATGCGCAATTGACGTATAAACATGCAATGCCTCATTCTCAGCGAGAGAGGTACCTCGCAGCACCTTTCGGACCATCTGCTAAGTCATTAGCCTCAACCTCCGAAGGACCTCGACTTTGAACGCATCGATCATCATGAGGACCTCGTACAAGACAGTCTTAGCTGTACTTCCACTCTACGCAACTACGACCATCGCGGATCGATATGCCAGCAATATACGCCCGGTAATTGTCGATGCACCACAAGTGGCGGCCAATTTTCCCGACGTCGATGGCATACAACTGTTGTCGCCCGCTTTCATAAACCCGGAGAACGTACCAGCGACATTTGCAAACGGCACCTCAGGACCGACTCCACAGCGTGATTTAGGTAAGGCGTGCATATCACAACGACCTCAAGCTTACTGATCTTTTGAAGAGAGCTTCGTGAAAGGCCTCACTCAGCGAAACGGATGGATCACCTACAATAACGACCTGAGATCCGAGGAAAATCGCGCGATACCGTACATTACATTGACAAATGGCAAGAAAAGCAGTGAGAAACTACGCGTTTGGATTCAAGGAGGCCAACATGGGAACGAGCCTGCAGGCGACGAGGGCGTGCTTGCATTGCTTGGAAAATTTGCGCAAGACTCCCAATGGAGCGCCAAAATCTTAGAGAAGCTTGATCTGCTGATTCTCCCGCGCTACAACGTCGATGGCGTCGAGTACCTACAGCGACAACTGGCTTCCAACTACGATCCCAACCGCGATCATGCAGTGCTCGAGCGACAGCAGACACGAACCATCAGAAAGCTGCAGTCTGAGTTCGATCCGCACATCTTCATCGACGACCATGAGTACACAGGCGGCAACTTGGTAGCCGAGAAGTACATCCGCGCGCAGGATCTTTTAGTGTCTGCCAACAAGAACCAAAACGTCAATCCTAGTATCCGAGCGTTGAACCAGGAGTTCGTCGACGACGTCTTCTCAGTTGCCGAGAGTAAGGACCTGCGTATCTTCCCATACTTCACCACGAGTGTCGCTAATGGCACGATAACGATCGAGGAGCCTGATGCGCTTGCTGCGGCAAATCACAAGGGTGCTGGCAACTACCAGGCGCTGACCTTTCTCGTCGAGACGCGTGGCATTGCTATCGCGGATCAGCACTTTCAACGCCGTGTCGCATCCCACGTTATCGTTCTGGAAACTATCCTCAACAAAGCAGTGGATGAGTTCGACGATATATACAGCATCATCGAAGCCGGACGTAAAGCGTTCATCGAGAGCAAAGACGAGATCGTCGTAACCTACGAACAGCGCATCACCAACAAGACAGTCCCGTTCATCGACGCATCAACCGGCTCACTCGTATCCGTACCCGTCCGCTCTCGAAACAGCGATCCTTCCATCGTCACCCTCTCCCGCCCCCGACCAAAAGCCTACGTCTTCTCGCGCGCGTGGGCCGACGTAGCCGAGCGTCTCCGTATCCTCGGTGTCACCGTCGACGTCCTCCAGGAAGACTTTATCGAGACTATCGAAGCGCTCGTAGTCACAAAGGCTGAGCTTGCCGAGACCAAATTCGAAGGCATTGCGGGTACAACAGTGACAACTAATACAACGCAGCGAGCAGTCACAATACCCGCTGGTGGCTTCTACGTTGATACTAAGCAAAAGAACGCTGGGTATGCTTTTACGCTATTAGAACCAGAAGGAGAGGCGAGTCAAGTGTATTACAACAAGATTCCGCTGGAGGTGGGGGATGAATACCCCGTGTTCAGGGTTCTGTAGAATGTCCGCACCAAGAGAGCTGTAAGAAGAGTAAACAACATCTTTCTCATCCCTTCCATTATCCAATGGGCGGATTCAGTCATCGCATATCTCGTGTGTGTTACGGGACTCGGAAGAGTATACGAACAACCCATCTGCCGATGTTGCCCGACTTCTCCATCCAAACGAACATGCATAACCCCTTCTTTAGCCCTACATTTCTCTCATGAACGGTACTAGCGGACGTTGTCATACTTCTAGTGGCATTCTAGCTGTCTGCAACCGAATCGAGTGTCGCGATGCGTGTCTGGGTGGCCTGACCCCAAGTTTACCATGTATACCCTTGGTTCTCATCGTTTGTAGGGCCGAAAGAACTGGAACTTTATTCCTCGCGATCGTGAGAGTAGGTGGGCCGGGGGTCAACGTGGATGTAGTGTACGGCAGTTGCTAGTGCTTACTGCTGTCAGGCGAAGTTTAACCGGCAGGAGTGCTTGTTTGTACTGTTCATTAGAAGTGCGCGGTAACCAACAGTCCTGTGGGCTTCGCTCTCGAGCTTGATGTCTCTTCGCGAGGAACTTTGGGTGCGTAGTTTGGGGCTCTGAAAAGACAGAAGCCGCGGGCAACTGGTCTGGACAACACTCACGCTTCCGCGCGTAAACTCAAAGCTGGCATACTCTCGCTCATTCTGACAATGTGTAGAAAGCTTCTGTTACCAATTCATTCTCATAGATATATATACATGAAAGTCATAGCCACCCAACCTCGCACAAAACGGAACAAAACAAAGCCGAAATGTAATGCGCCCAAAGCCATAGGCTCCAAGTCATCTAAGCACTACCACCAAGCTGCTTAGTAACAAACTGGGTACCCAAGTTTTGAGTAGGAGTATCCCTGGGGTACTGAAGATGCTGAGCGTTGATGCCCTGACCGTGTGTAGTATCGCATACACCATCGCCCTGTTATCATCGTTAGCTACCATCTCCCTTTTCACGGAACAAGGGATAACTTACAAAGATGCAAACATCCAACGTCTTGCCCTGCCAGTTATCCGGAATGCCCCTGCTCAGTGCCGCAGACAGACCATTCACGTTCTTCGTCGTAGTACCACCGTTGTTATCCACATTGCAGCTCAGTCCACTCTTATGCGCCGGGTTACCAATAAGGAAAACACCCTTGACAGCATCGAAGTTCGCGCCAGTGAGCTGAGACATGGCATTCACCGTCGCCTGAGCACCCTGACTGTATCCCTCAAGAATGAAGCACTCATCCGGGTTCGTGCGAAGTGTAGACTGGACTTTGTTGACGATATCAGCGGTACCGGCAGCAGAGTTCTGCGAGAAACCAGCGGCGTAGACGGTGTTGTAGATTTTGCCGCCTGAGACTGCGGACTGGATGTTGCGGTTCATGGTGCGGAAGCCGGAGGATTCGCCTTGGATCTCGCCGGTGCCGCGGGTGTTGATGATGGTGTAGGAAGAGCATGTGGCGCGGGTGGAGAGGTTGTCGACGGGAGCGGCGGTGGAGAGAGCGAGCAGCGAGGCTGCGGGGAGGATGGTGGAGAAACGCATGGTTGATGTGTGAAGATGTGTATGGGTATCTGAATGAATGTAGGAGATATGACAGTGAGAGAAGTAGAGCTGATGATCTTATCGTCAGGGTGGTGTCGATATTACAGCGGATCTTCTCTGCCTTATATATCCACCCTCACCCCCATAGACCAACCCGTGTGTAATAGGAAAAAGCACCCTCTACTATCCATAGATCCCACCTCACCTCGGCAGACATTCTTAGCGCGTTTCACTCGCCGATCCCCAGTCTGCACCTCTACACCGAATAGGACGGAACCTGCATCCGCTTCGGAGCACTAAGTCATAATCGTGGCCGTCTATCCTGTAGGCGCCTCGATCGTCACATGGCCTAACGGCTGTCACCGTCTGGAGTGGGTAGAGATCTTCTCTACCTTCTCGATTTGGATGACTTCATGACCAGGAACGGGGATTGCGGGTGAGGTGTTACGACGGGTATTTGGTGGCTCTGTTCATGCATCGACGCCATTGTGTAAAACATGTATGTCATAGGTATCTTCGATTCCAGGATACCGATGGTGAAAGGTGGCGCGGCGAGATCTTTCGAAACTCCTCAGCCTTGATAGTGGCTGAAGCGGCATGGAACATTCCATCCTATGCCGTCTACTCGAAACAGCCAGGAGGTGGGGGTTGAGACTGAAAACTTCCAATGACATGGCAAAACGCATTCATCGTGCCTCGGGGTAGCGACTGCACCATGGTGGACACTGGACCACCCCGTGCGCCTCACAGTCTCTAGGCGCAGGTCCTGAATCGCTCATGCGGGTCCGCGGATAGTTGGCCTTACCACGTTCGGTAGACTTGCCTGCTGTTTGTGGTTTGGAGCCTGCCGCAAGGAGAGCCCCCAATTATTGCTCCCTGCCGTCGATCGGCATCGAGCCTCGGCACGGCAATTGAACAAGGGGAGGTGCAGCGTCGGTGGAAGTACCACAAATGGATGGTGAGGATGTGGAAGTGAGGTCGGAAATTATCGAAAAAGCAAGTGAGTAATCAGCCCAGCGCGGGATAGTCAAGTGCGACAGCGGCGCGAACAGTTCGTCGAGAGAGCTACAATGCAAGTAGCGGACACTGACAGAAGAGGTGTACTCGTCCTGCGTTGGTGTGCCGAAACCTGGGCTGATCTTCCTACTCGCAGTATGGTACGGGTGATCGTTAGCGGGTCCCGCTGATCCGAGGAACGGCTCTAGCGCTGCGCTATGCCGGACGTGGCAGGCTAAGCTCCGAAAGCTTCGACTTCAGGATGGCATCTTGACCGAGATGTCGGCTGGATGTTGACCGAGGTGGTAGTTGACGAGTGCGATTCGGAAGCGAAATGCGATGTGTATTTGATCGTTGAACTTTACCCCGCCAGATCATTCCGGGGTGACCTCGCGGGAGGAAGCAGCAACGTAAGCGCAACTGCTGATCGATCGTGGTTTTCACAGGAACTGCCGGAACGGCGAATTCAAACCTTGGAAGGGAGCGACCGAACGGTGACATGGAAACTCTAAGTGACGTCTTTGCGCTAGTCCATGTGTCAAAAGGTTGCCTCAAAACGTCGCCACGTGTGACGCTAGTTCCACTTCTCTTCCTCGTCATTTCACTCTCCAGGTACTCCCGACTTATTTGCATCGCGACGACTCGTACCGAGGATTTTGTGACCGCGGAGTATCGAATGAGAACATGTCTTTCGCTAGGTCCTTCGGTACATCTTGCCGATTCCACACGCTTCAGTCTTTCATGAAGTCGTCCCGCAACGGCTTTTGTTCGCAATGACAGGATTCCATGAGTACGGAAGCAAAGAGGTAAGAAGCTTGTAGAATGCTGATTAATATACGCACGTCCAGAGCGACGCTCAAGATTCGAGAACTGGCGGCAATGTATGAACGGAAGCAAGCAACCGACACATCGGCGACAATTCTTTCCATTTAGATCAACTTCCCCGGATGACTGAACCCATCGAATCTCCAAGTCAGTATTTTGGCGCCATTTTGAAGAAGTCCTTATGTGCTGTTCCTTTGCACCCACAGACGAAGCAGGACCATGCAATGTTCACCGGAGTCTTTCGAAGATCATTCAGACATCAGCTTGTGTTTTTGGACAAAGAGCCCTTTTGGTGGATGTGAGGAGTAAAGACTCACAAATGGGAAGAAGGATTTTCTACACGCAGACCTAGTGCGGTCGCCACACTGGGAGGATAAACCTTCGCGAAGTGCTGTCTCGAACATTGCAAACACCGATAAGCGTTATTCACTACTCAAAAAAACAGACGATCAAGTCGATGTTCTCCGCGCCCGCTTCCACAGCCATACGGCGACAGTCTTCCCTTTTTGTATCCTTCGACATTTCGCAAAGGACAGCATATTCAGCCGCGGTTTTCTCATGTGTCCTTACACTCGTTCGTTTACTATCGCGCGACGAGGAAACCCGCCAGCTCGCTCCATGATATCATTTGTAGCATCTTTAAATTTTCATTTGCCAGAACCATTTTTGTTTTGGAAGAGTAACGGCAGTAAGCTTCTGGTAGATGATTGAAAGCTGAATAGGTCAGAACTTATGTTTTATACGCGACCAAGCCGGAGGCCAACCGGCGCCCAACATAGTGACATGAGGGAGGCTTTTTCCGTTCTCATATGGATGCGACTCGGACATTTTGGAAGAATAAAGTCTCGGACGTTTTGCAAGATGAATGGAGGTACAGTCGTAGTAAAATAGGCTTTATAATCGACGAGAACGAAGGCAAGCGGGTGCACCGCATATAGCAGTCGATGTTGTCTTTTGATCCTCATAGTGACGATGGTGAAGTTTTTTGAACCACCAGAAACCATAAGATCGATGTAGAAGTGATATTTCGATGACAGCCGGATAGTAGGTTTGAGTTGTGAGTCGCACAGAGACCGGCAAGCGCACCGCATGACATCATCGAACATCTCTTTTGGTTTTCATGAGGGCGAACTGCCGCTATTTTGAACCTCCGAAGGTCAGAGACCTTGATGGTCGTTCGAAGATGAGTTTGTTTTGGAGCCGACTGGAGGCAGGCGGCCACACAGCATACTTTATCCCCATACCCGTTTTCGATGCTCATATCCAGCGCTGGACTCATTTTTGAGAAATTGGAAGCTGGGATATAAGTGAAGGAGTGAGACGTCTATAGTCGTCGCGAAGCAGGATTTATATGCGCGCTGAACGCAAACACATAAGCGCACCATGTTCCAATCCCAAGTCTTCTTTTCGATCTCCATTTGATCTCCACATTGATGTTTTGAAACACAGGATACTGGATCATGCTTTATGTTCTTGATAGTTTTGAGAATGAAGCTTTGAATGCGAGCCGAACGCAGACGCGCAGACGCACCGCATATCAGACTCCAGAAGGCGTTTCAGTCCTCATGTAGAAAATGAGTAAGCTTTTTATAATGTTTGAACGCAGGATGTTGGTACAGATCAGACATATCCATGATCATGAAATGTTGGAAGATAAGTTTTAAACGCGAGCAGCACGGAGAAGGCCGAAATCGCCACATGGGCAGATTGTGATGCGGTTTTGATCTCCATACAGAACTAAGGTACCGCTTTGGATAACTCGAAGCTGGAGGATTGATGAAGGAAGGAGACTTGGATAATCGACAGGAAGGTAGGCTTTTTACGCGAAGTACAGCCGGATCGGACGAGCGCACATGACCTTGGTGCACATTCCTTTCATCTTCTCATGTAACTGTCCGCGATTTCTTTTGATGGTGGCAACCAGCCAGAGTACTATCAAGAATTACGAGGTATGCTTTTGGAAGCCTGGTAGCTTGTATGTGAGCAGGAAAGCGAGAGCGGAGGCACACAACATGAGGCTCTTGCTGGCAGATTTTCAGATCTCCATGTTGGAATGTTGTCAGAATTTCAGATAGATGCGAGCCGGGACTCTGGGACTCTGGAACCATAAAGAAGACTTGATTATCGAAGAGTGGTCATCTGGATGAGTGTGGGAGAACGAGAGGCAGGCAGACACCATTACAAGTACATGCGGACAATTTTGATATCCATAGGAACTTGCAAGATCATTTTCAATAGAAGAAAGCCAGAAGAATGGTGTAGAAGTGAGAGTCTAATCGCGACAAAGGCGGGCTTTTATATGCGCGCCGAGAGAGCGCACGGGCACACAACATAGGTGTGTAGAATAGAGGTTATTTTGAGTCTCCATGGCACCTTTGTTCAGACTTTTCGATCCACCCAGGCCAAAGGCGTAGTGTCGAAGCGATCTTTGAAGAATTGCAGGGGAAGTAGGTCGCATGTGTGTACACGGCGGAAGCAGAGGCACACAACATAGGAAGGTTCTCAAGTGTTTTTTAATTCTCCATGAACAGAAGGTTTGTACTTTTAAGAAAATTAAGCCTGAAGAGAGGCATTGAAGTGTAAGAGTAGTCGAGGCAAAGGAGGTGGCTTTTATGTGCGTGCAGTGAGGGGGCGCAGGCACACAGCATCGCTCTGCTTTCTGCTAGATTTTGAAACTTCATAGAACCTTCGATGAGGTTTTTAGGTCAAAGTAAGCTAGAGGACTGGCGTTGGAGTGGAAGTCCAGTCATGAAGTCTTGGAACCTTTCTTTTTGAAGGCCGAGAGAGAAGGCGCAGGCACAATCATGCACTGATAGTTTCCCATTTTTTGGTTCCCATAGGAACTCGTTGGAGACATTTTGGTAAACCCAACTCGGAATGTTGGTGTAGAAGTGAAGCTCTTGTTCCCAAGAAAGAGACGTTTTTATATGCGACTACTGGAGACGGGAAGTTCTCGACATGTCATTGAAGTCGATGAAGTTTTCGAATTCTCATCAGATATTGAGTTACCATTTTTGGTAAAGCACGGAAACGATGGTTAGTAAGGAAGTATGAATCTAGCCGCCAGGAAACTAGCTTATATAGACCCAGAGATGTTGCGGGCAGGCGCACAACATGCATTCTTCCAGTGCTGGTTTTGGAGTCTGATCATGGGTATCCGAATGCAGTGTTTTTGGAAAGCGAAGACCGCGACATAACGCGTCATTATTTCATTTTGAGTATATGGCTCGAACGCCATCTGCGAGCCGAGGAACGAGAGGCAGACGCACAACATGGGCATCGTCCGATTGTGTTTTGAACTCCCATAGAACCCGTTGGTACGGGTTTTGGAAAATAGTTACTGCGACGTTGGAGAGAAGGCAGACATAGAGTCATTCGTAGTGTCTTTTTAGTTGAGTCGAATGGGAACGCGCGCAGGCGCAGCATCTAATTCTCGTACACCGATTTTTCGTCTCCATGAGGGATCATCATCTGTTCTTAGTGCAGCGAAGATTTGGAGGTTCATACAGAATGTGCTTTTGGATTTTGGGAGGAAGTTTTGTATGTCGAAAGGAGGAAATAAAGGCGACGCCTCATGTTAATGATGCGTAGACTTTTAGATTTCCATGCCTGAAAGTACTGCTCTTTTTGAAGTAATAAAGAGCGGAACGTAGATGTAAGGAAGCTAACTCCAGTCCGCAGGAAGAAGTGATTTTATACCAACAGAAAGAGGAGGCAGCGGCGCCATGTGCGGCACGTAGATAGCGTTTTTTTCTTTTCGATCTCCATCGAGTCTTTCGTTACAGCTTTTGGAACAGCGAAGACAGGCATAATAGGATGTACCCGATGTTTGAGAAGAAAGCGGAAGGACAGTCTCATAATAGTGACGCCCCTACTGTTCGGACTTTCCATGCTCTGGCGTCCACAAAAGTTTTAGAATTTCGAACATCTGGAAGTTTGTGTAGGAGGAAGCGTCCAGCAGCCGCAAAGTAATTTTTATATCCCAGCTCCATCTCCGCCGCTCATCGGAGTCAAGCTTTGTCGTTTTTGAAAAGAACGACACATTGCAGTAATGCGCGGGAGGGTCGCCACGGCACCATGGAGGCGTTGACGCAAGATTTTGAAAAGACTCGGAGAGAGCGAGGGAAGAACATGACCCCGATGTCATTGGTTTTTGGACAGCGCCATCAGTGTCAAGGCATCCTTTTTGGAAAAGTGAGAATTGGAAGTGTGGATATAGAAAGTAAAGAAGGAAGAGGATGAGCGAGGTATTTATACGCCGCCACCGGCCCACATCACCACCCCTCCACGTCAACTCATCTCAACCCAACCACCTCACGCCCTCCAACACACCCCTCACTTGCGCAAGAACGAACCAAAACAGCGTAAGATGAAAGGGTAAAGTAGTCATTAAACCATACTAACTCGCTAGATCCTTGCATATACCCGCGCCTCTCATAGCAAGACCGGCAAAGAAGATGAAACCCGCTATCCCAGCATATAGCTCCAAAGACAGCGATATGTATCGCTTATTTTCCGTAGCCCAGTAACGCCCAAATACTCAGAATGTGCGCGGTGAATAACGCATCCAAAGGAATGGGGGTATATATCCAATGCCTTTTATCCAAGCTTTTTCTTCAACCTTCACTCAATCAATCCCTTCAACCGGCGACAAGCATGAATCCTAGCGGATATCATGTCATGACGCAACAACCTCAACCCACCCCTCCCTATTCCTCTCAACTTTACTCCCATCCTCACCAGCCGTCAACTCCTTGGCCAACCCATCTTTTGCGCCTCTCCGCCTCGCCCTATCCCTCACGCTACGCTCATCTTTCTCGCACTCCTTGATTGCCTCTACAACTTCTAGTTCTTCGAAGCGCGCATCTTGCAGATTGAGCTTCTGCCACTGAGGATGTTTCTGGCAACGCTTCTTCAGACACGCGGTTTCCTTGTCATCGACATCAATGTCCATTGCGTCGGCGCCGTTGGTCGCGGGTGTAGGTGTAGAAGAGATTTGTTCGGGTGTGGGAGTGAGGGTGGAATGGTGGAAGGCAGCGCGGCCGTGTTTGCTGTTGCGCCAGAGGAGGAATTCGGCGTCGGACCAGGAGAGCCGCGAGTCGTAACCGCAGAAGTCCTTGGCTTTGACTTTCTCGCGGTCGGCGAGGCGGACGGCTTGTTCTTTGGCCATGCTGACAAACTTTTCGCGGTCTTTCAGGACTTCGAGGCGGTCTTTGAGCTGCGTCTTCTCTTTGTGGAGGGCGGTCAGGCGTTCGATCTCGCCGGCGGTGAGGGCGAGGTCTTCACCGTTGGAGGGGAATGTTGCGCGGGATGGGGAGGCGGTTTGTGGGGGTGTGAGGACGCCGGTTCCGAGGTTCTTGAAAGCTTGGATGTTTGGCGATGCGTCAACGAGGGCTTTGAGGTCCTTGGCTCGTAGTGTGCCTCCAAGGGGTGTCGGCTCTTCTTCCTCTGCGCCTTCACTCTCCGCAGGCTTCTTCTTCTTCTTGGATTTTTCCTTCATCCCGTTGGCGCCCTTGGCACCTGCCGTCCGTTGGAGTTGTTCTTGCATGAAGAGAACTCCGCAGTCGTCGGAGCAATACTTGCTCTCCCTGCCGTGGTTAAGTCGCGCAGGTTTCCGACAGCCGTCTCGCCGGCACATTGGCTTCCATGTGGTGTTCCCCTTGCCGTTCTCCTCGCACTGCGGACATATGAACTTGTCGACCAGTTCCTCGTCCACCTGTCGCATGTTTACGCAGTCGCCGTGGAACCAGTCGTCGCATCCGCCATCGCATCCAATCATCCACTTGTGGTTGTCGGGCTTCTTGCATATGCAGTAGAGGTTGTGGTCTTCGGATGATTCGCCGTCGTCGTCGGTAGCGTGTTCGTGACCTGGGGCGGGCGAGGATCCAGGGACGGGTGTGCCGGCGTGCGAGCCTTTCTTCATGGCCCTGCTGCCCGCCGACTTGGGTATCCGCGAGGTAGGCGTTACGGAGCGCGCACCATCTTCCGTCTCGACCTTGCGCTTCTTACTCGGCTTGGACGTCTTTGCGGTGCCCTTTTTCTTGATGGCGGAGGCGGATGAAGGCGCTGGTCGCTTCTTGGTTGGGGCGGGTGCTGGCTTGGACTCGACTGGTGATGGGGCGCTCTCTGCCGCGCTCTGGTTCCGTCTCCGCAGCCCAAGGTCGCTCTGCTTGGCAATCTCGAGCGCCTTGAGTGTGTCGGCGTCCATGTTCTCGCCAGTCACGGAACTCTGTCGCTCAGTCTGGGAGGCGGTGATTGCAGGCGTGTGTTCGCGCGGTGTTCCAGAGGGCTCGTCCTTGATGAAAGGCTGAGGCGAAGGCAGGGTGGCGTTTCCATTGTGTGAATCAGGCTGGAGGGTGCTCGCTGCGGGCTCTCGGATCTGGGAGGTGGTAGGTTCGTCGCGCGTGAATGCAGGTTCGCAGTTCTGCGTGCTGTCTCGTTCGCCGTCGTCCAATGTGACTACCTGCGACACGTCCTGGCCAATGGGGGCGTCCTGAGTCTGCTCTTGCAGGGCCGTGGACAAATTTTGTATTGGCGCGAGGACTGGGGCGGGCGAGGTCCTCGACAGCAGCGACTGGCGGCGCTTCTGCTCCTCGGGCGAATTGGAGCCATGGTGATAGTGCTCGAGCGTCGGCGAGTGCACCTGGGGCTCGTCGAGGGGTGGCGAGGGCTCGACGGGCGCGTGGTGGGAGCCGAAGCTGCTGGTGCGTCGCGGCGCGTGGGACGAGGCCGTGGGCGAGGGCAGCTCGCGCGTCGGGGCGGGCACAAACTGCTGGCCACTGCCCAGCGTCGCCAGCGTCGTCAGGGCATCGGCAGCGTCTTCGGTCGTGGTGGAGGCAGACGGGCGGCGCTGCTGGCCGGCGTCGGGGTTGAGGAGGGAGTCGATGCTGCTCATTGTGGCTGGCGGTCTGTCTAAGCGGGCATGTCGGGGCGGGGATGGAGGGGATGGAGGGAATGTCGAGGACACAAGAGTGAGCAGACTTGAGGCGAGCGAGAGGAGAAAGGGCGGGTGGTGTGGAAAATAGAGCCGTTTCAATCAGCTTGGCGCGCAGAAGCGCTTGAGGGGCGGGCGAAGCTGCGTGAGCCTTGACAGCATGCAGGCATTGCTCGACCGCCTGCTACCACTGCGCCTGCCACCTATTACCGCACACCTACCAGCGCGACGTCCCTCGTGACGCTGACAAATGGCAAGCCACTACATGTGCCTCAATATCGCCTTCCTCGCCGCAGGTCTTCGTGTCTTTGTTGTGACGGCTGCCCGCAGCTCCAGGGCGCTTGCCGCCGATGATGCAACTCGACAACTGGGTCCCTTGAGGGGAGCTCCGAGCTAGCATCACCCAACATGACGTTTGTCCCGGTAAAGAGCATTAACATAACTATATAGGGTATCATAGGCGTCTTGATCTATATATGATCCAAAAGACTATTCATCGTCGTCGTTCCCCGGCCGCCCGCGCTTGCGCCCTGCCGCCTGCGATGCACCTTGAGTCGCCTCGACCGACGCACTGTCACTGAGGGCGTCCGCCACCTGCAGCGTCCGCTGCAACTTCTTCTCGAGTTCCTCCACGTCCTCACTCTCCCCAAACATCATCCGTATAAATTGCGCGACGCCCTCCCGTCCTACCTCGACCTTGCCGCGAGGCCCGACAATGTAGTCTACTGTCTCCTCGCCCCCGGCAGGCGTCTCCCTGATCTTGACAATATACCCGTCTTTGGCCATAATCGCAAGCGTCTTGTCTTTGGTACCGACAGGTGTCGTCTGGTCTGCGTTCATGCGCCTGAGAGCGCGGTCTAGCTTGCCTTCTGGGATCATACCGCCAGATATGACAATGAGGGCGATGGCCATGGTGTACAGCCCGACGTATGAATCTTCTCGGTTTATCTCGTCTGAGTCGGCTGCTAATGGTCGCGAGGGGCCGATGATGTTTGGTATGCGGTACTGCTCAGGTAGGATATTCTGCAGGACCCATATACCGGTCGACTTGCTTTGGGATTCCGAGCCGGCGGCAGCTGGATATATCAGATCAGAAGTCTGGTAATAGTGAGACTGGATACATACCGCGCTTCTGTCGCAGCGTCACCTTGTCCGCTTTGGGCAGCTCGACGAACTGCATCCCAAAAACGTCCATGAGCTGACTGTTAGCCTGCGCGAAGACGTCCTTGAACAGGCGAGTATAGGAACCGAGGACTGCATCTGTCAGTCTCAAGTCATGTAGAACTCAAATGCACCCACCTTTCTCGTTGATGTCCGCGCGCTTGATGGGCTTCCGTGAATGCTCACACGACAAGGCATACCGCACCAGACCCTTTGCTAGTTGATCAACGCTGCCGCTGCCCTGCGCCTCTCTGATGGCGTCCTCCATGTCAATGTCCTCATCTTCAGGGGTTTCATCTCGCCTTCGTCTTTGTGACTGTATCGGCACTGGTGAGGATGCTTGAGTTGCCGCCTGTCGTGATCTTCGCGGAGGCATCGTGTGTTGTGAGTGACTGGGGCGTGGGGTAGACTCAATCTATCATAGAATTACCGCGTAGGGCTGACGCGACGCGCCGCGGTGAAAGCCGCGCTAAGGTGCTCGCTTCCGGGCCGGCGACGACATCATCGAGACATGGTCCGAGCTGCTCCTCCGCATTGCAAGTCTCAATCCCCATCGTGATTTACCCCAGTCAATGCAGCCACCATGAATTCCATACGACACGCCGCGCGACGGCCTGTATTCCGCTGCCTCAACACGCCTGCGCCGCTCCGCTCCAATCCTCAATTCCGACAGGGCTCGCGCTCCAGCAGAGCAGACTTCGAGGCCATTCTCAAGCAAGGCGCCCGTCCAAAGGTCCCTCGCCCAGATGAAGACTTCGTCTCTGTACACCGCGCCGAGGCTCTACGCCGTGCGCAGTTGATCAAGAGGCGGAATTGGCTTGCTCTCGGTGCAGCGCTCTCCATGATAGCCCCCATCTTCCTCGTCCGGTTATGGGATGTGCCGCCGCCGGGAGAGAAGGATGAGAAGCCAAGTCGGGGCATATTCGACATGATCATGGGCCCGCCCACCAAGTGCGATGCCCCGCGCAAAGCAGCAGAAGAGTTCCAGGGCAAGAAGGTCGTCATCGCAGCTGGCGACAAAGTCATTGCTACAGCAGGCGACACCGACAACCCACAAGCCTCCGACCCCGACGCCATCGAGCTCGTCGAGACAGGCACCTCCTACGTCCCCTACTTCCCGCGCACCATCCGCCTCCCCACCGACACCGCCGGCCCCGAAGCCATCACCAGCGACGCAGAATACACACTCCTCGGCCTGGGCATCCGCAAAGTCTCCTTCCTGCGCGTCCAAGTCTACGTCGTAGGCCTGTACGTCAAAACCGCCCACCTCTCCACCCTCCAAAACCACCTCATCAACACCGTAAACCCCACCGCCTCCGCCCTCATCCCCAACGAAAAGAAAGACCTCCGCGAAGCCCTGCTCGACCCAGAGAAGAGCAACAAGATCTGGGAGTCTATACTGGCTAAGGATGGCACAGCAGGCGTCGACATGGCCTTCCGCGTCGTCCCCTGCCGCGGCACAGATTTCAAGCACCTCCAAGACGGCTGGATGCGCGGCATCGCCTCGCGCACCGACGAAGTCCGACGCAAGCAAGCCGAGCTCCTCCGCCAACAAGCCGCAGAAAATAAATCCATTTCCCTACCCAAGCCCGTCGAGGAAGGCGAATTCCAAGACGAGTCTTTCGGCGTCGCTATGAAGGAGTTCCGAAACTTGTTCCAGGGCAAGGGGAAGGCGCCAAAGGGCTCTGTTATTATTCTAACAAGGGATAAGAGTGGTAGTTTGGGTGCGCTGTACCAGCCGCTTGTACAAAAGGGGGATAAGCAGGAGACGATGGGGAAGAGCAGTTGGTTGGGTGAGGTTAAGGATGAGAGGGTGGGGAGACTGGTTTGGTTGCTGTATCTTGGCGGGCAGAATGTTAGTAGTGAGCCGGCGCGGAAGAGTATTGTGGATGGGTGTATTGATATTGTTGAGAGGCCGGTGGGCACGCTGGAGACTATGGTTCATTAGTGGGGTGGGTGTGTATGAAATCGAAGGGGATTGGATGTGTTGCGCATGTGACCATGGGACAAATTTCCCCGTCTCGTCTTTTGGAGGCGTATATAAACCTCGCTCAACTGTCCTCACTCCTTTCTTCTCTACATTCCTACTTTTTCTCAAGATACTAAAAGACTCGCTGGCCCATGGTATGGCTCGTCCGTCGAGCGCTTTTCCAAAAACTACCAACGTCACCTATATGTCTCCCCCGGTTCTTCTTCCGCCGACTACTACCATACTACGTCGTCTATCTACCAAAATCTCAGGTCACTTTTTGACATGACTCCTTCCTCGAGCACTTCTTCCAAAATCAAAATTCCGTCTCTCGATGTCCGCCGTTCTTCCCGCCTCTCCGCAAACTACGACTACGACTCCACTCTTACTTTCGAAATACCAAAATCGCTATCAAGGCGTACATGTGCGCTCGTCGAGCACTTCTTCCAAGATTCGCAAATAAGGAGATCATGACTGGTTCTCTTCCTGCCTCTTGTCGACGACCTGGATTTCTCAAAACACCGATGGAAAATTTTCATGGTGCGTTTGTCGAGCACTTCTCCAAAAAGTGGATGATTGGTGCATATGACTGCTGTTCTCGCTTCTTCGCTGGCTTGAAAATCTTCGAAAAGATAAGATAAGGATGTGGATGGTGCGGCTGGCGAGCAGCTCTTCCAAAAGCTATAGGACAGCGCCTTATGTCCTCCGTCCTTCCTGCCTCTTCGACCACTCCTCAGAATATCCAAAAAAGAATATGACGGCTGTTGTATGGCGCGGTCGTCGAGTAGCCCTACTAAAATCAACTTGCGCCTACTACTATGGCTGGCGTTCTTCTTCCATCTTCGACTGCTACTTGGAATACCAAAAAATGTCAAAAGCTGTGGCATGACTTGTTCGTCGAGCACCTCTTCTAAACTCGCGACAAGACGGCATATGGCTGGCGTCTTTGCCGCCTCTTCGACGACTACTCGAAACAATCACGATACCCAAAGATACCACAAACGCTCCCCATGGCCCTTCCACTGATGATCCTCCTACTCAAAAAAAAAGGTCTACACAATCGACATAGCTGCGGCTCTCCCTGGTCCGGCGACCCAAAAAGGACAAGCCAAAACGAAATGTCTGCTTCTGGAACTCCCATACACGCGCCTACATGCCTGTCGCTCCTCCCTCGACTTCCGGTCTTATCAAAATGGATACCGCCTTTTGTGATGGCTGGCTTGTCCATCGAGCACCCGATCCAAAAGACTACAAGAGAAACATGATGTCTTCTGCTCTTCCCGCCTCTTTCCTACTCTTCAGAAACCGCGTGTTGTTAGAGTAATGTTCCTTCCGGAAAGGTCCCTCAATTAGGTGCATGTCTGCTGCTCCTCCTTTCCAATCTGGTATTCTCAAAAGCCTCAGAAACGTCTTTCATGGCTGGCCTCGCGCCTTCCAAAAGCTTACTTTATCAACTCGCATGCTTCTGAGACTGAGTGTCTCCGCCTACCACTAAAGAACCACACTGCCGCCTATGATGTCCTCCAAATTCCCTATACTACAGCGGCATGACGGCCGCTCCTCCTTCTTCCTCCGCTATTATCCAAAAATCTAGAGAGCCAGCGGATGGCTGGCTTCGCCCTTCTCAAAATCTGCGGTCATGGATGTCATGGTTTTGAGACTGAGACTCCCCGCAAACTACTCAAAAACGCACGAAACGAAGGCATGTCTTCTCCGGCACCCCTCCGTGCTTATTCTACATATCTATCCCTTTTCTTCTACGAAATTCGGTCTCATCGAAATGAGCAGAACTTCCATGCATGGCTGGTTCTGCGCGCTCCAAAACAAAGGAAGAGCAACGCTATGGTCCTGGGACTGAGGGTCGTTCCCAAATACTCAAAATCCGCAGCGAGGTAGACTATGCATCCTCCTAAAAACTAAACACTTTCCAGATATGCCTGCTTCTCCGTCGAGGAAAACTACCTCTTCAAAACAGGAAGATGTTTGAGCCATGGCTGTCTTTGCGCGTCCCAAATCAAGATTACGTATGACACATGATTCCGCCTCTGGAATACCCACCCCGACAAGGTGATGAAAACACATCACGCAAGCGCGGATGTCCGGACAGCGGCTATAAAAGCCTCGCATCGCCGCCGCTTCCTTCCTTCCTTCAACACACACCTCCTGGGTGCTTTACCAAAATGGCCAATTGAAGTATCAATGTCTGCGCCGGCGAGATTTTTTCCAAAACAGATGTTGAAGCTCTATCATGTCTTTGTCCGAGAGACGGCGCCTTATATCCAAAACTGTAGTCTAAAGACCCATGTTCGAAAACCTTTCTGAAAGCTGTCATGAGCAAACCCAAAGTTATTGAGATCGCGAATATGTCGCTGTCTCTCCTTCTCTCCTTTGATACACACCTTCTTGGGTGGTTTACCAACATGTCCATACCCAAAAACGATATCTGCGCCGGCGAGGCCTTTTTCAAAATAACACCCCAGACACGCCATGTCTTTGCTCGCGAGACGACGCCTTTTATCTAAAAACCCTAAGAAAACTTGCCATGTTTCAAAATACCCCGATAAAGTACCGCATGAGCACGTCGAAACGAACAGCTATAAAAGTCCTACCTCGCTGTCTCTGCTTCCCTCCTTCAATCTACATCCTTTTGGTTGTTTTACCAAAACAAAGAGCTGAATGCGCCATGTCTGCGCCGGCGCGTTGTTACGAAAAAAAAAACGTCCAGGACGATATATGTCTTTCTCTAAGAAGTCACTTCTTCTACATAAAACGCTGAGCAAGTACTCGATGATCAAAGACATTCACGCAAAGACTATGAGTTTGGTGTGTCTGCTGTGAACTTGTCAAAAAACCACATATGTACACTCAAAAACCATGGTATCAAGGACATGGCGGGAGAGAACGTGGTGTCGGATACATGCCGAAATAACAGGAATGGCTTCCTATGATCTGCCAGTCTCTAGCGCTGAACTACGCAAGAGGTGTATAAAAGCTGTTCTTCTGCCGGCTTCTTCCTTCTTTCCTCATCTACACTCCTTGTGAGTCTATTC